TGGTGAAGGAAGGAGCCGGTCCTGATGGTGGGTTTTAATCCAGAGGTTTTATTCTGGGCCGCATGGCCCCCGAAGCTAGCGACAGCTCCACCAGAACTCCAAGCATGTGGTGTGCTTGCCCTTTTACCCGGGGGAGAGGGGGAGGAGGGGAGCCAAGGACCACCAACCAGCTACGGGGAGGGCAGGTGTCAGGTGAGAGGGACACCTGGATGGGCCAATGGCCCCCAGGGAGGGAGAGCATCTTTTGAATCGGCCCAATCACTCAATGCCCCCTGGAATTTCTGAGTTGATAGACAGTGCCCAGTAGGAGTCAGGGCGGGGGAAAGGAGAGGGGATTGACACCTGGGGAAGGACCGGGGTAACTGAGGCAAGCCATGACATTACACTGCAACAGGCAGGAGGGTGTTTTGTGCTGTCACTGGCCAGGGTGGTCCAGCTCACTGTGGTGGAGGAGGGTAGGAGGGTGTTTTGTGCTGTCACTGGCCGTGGGTGTTGTCACCCAGGGACAGAGTTTGTCACTGCGCCGCAGGAGACGGCTCTGAGTTTGGCATTGACAAACGCGGCTCAGGAGGAAAAACCTGTGGCTTGTTTGGTGGCTGGAGGCTGGTTCTGGGCACAGGCTGGTTGTGTGTGGGTGTGGGAAGGCACAGTGAGCCGGGCACAGCTGGGCACAGCTGGGCAGGCCCCAGCAGAGGTTTCCAGCTCCTCCCGTGGCCGCTCTGGATGTTACAGCGATGTCTTTCCTAGGGAGCCGCAGTGATTCCTTGCTGCCGCCCCCTCCCTCCTGGAACAACGACTCATTCTCCATTTTGATAGCAGCCTCCTGCTTCTCCTCCTTCCCTCTGTGGTGCTCCTGAGTCTTTCTGTTCCTCTGGATGCTGCTGGGTTCAGTGCTGCAATGGCGGCATGTTACAGACAGTGCAGGGGATTCTGCTGCTCTCTTCAGAGAGGGCCGGGAGCTCTCAGCCCTTTTGTCTGCCCTTTCCCCTCCCTCTCCCCCGTGAGCACCTCGGTGTTTTGATCCTTTACAAATCACTGGCGGCACAACAGAGCCGAGTAACACCAGCGAGTGGGACACGGGGAGGAAACAGAGCGTGAAGATGAGCTAGGTGAGCAATCCGTGAGGATGCGGGGGTGGCACAGGATGCGAGGCACAGACAGGGCTGCGCGTGTTGGATCCCTCTGCGATCCCTGCCTGTTGCAGGTCCCTCTCTTTTGCCCCCTCACAGCCTAAAGGCACCTGGAGATTCTGGCAAGGCAGGTTAGGAAGGATGACACGAGGGTGGAAACTGTCCAGGGAGCTGCATGGAAATGATCAGGGGTTGTTTCATTTTATTCACAGCTGGAGAAGACTTCACCTCTGTCATCTCAGAAATTATGATGTATATTCTGCTGGTCTTCCTCACTCTGTGGCTGCTGATTGAGATGATCTATTGCTACAGGAAGGTCTCCAAGGCAGAGGAGGCCGCCCAGGAAAACGCGTAAGTGTGGAACCCCTGGAGTTGAGATCTGTTCTACAAGAGCTCTTCACGTGTCCCAGAGCTCTCAAATGTGTATAGACCCCTGCTAGTACAGGATAATCAGGTCTAAAATTGATGATTTTTTCTTCCTGATGATTGAATAAATTGTGTAATATTAATTCCTTCTGCCTCACCTCATGTACTGTAAAACCCCAAGGAGCTGTTTCTGTACCAGCAGGAACCTGTGCCTGTAGGGCATCTGCAATATGGGACAGACCCTGGGTAGTTTGCCAGAAATCCTCAATAAGGTTGACAAAGTGAGTAGTGATTAAAACATGCTAGAAGACTGCAGGAAGACTGAACTTTGCTGTGGCATGGGTTGGTTGGCATTTGCTTTGTCCAAAGTCCTTGCAGTGTTTAGGAGCACCAAGACTCTGCCCCCTTGCACCACACACCAGGCAGGAAGTGAGCAGTATTCCAGGTTTGGACCACGTGGAGATGCTCTCCTGGAAGGTCTGGTTTCATTCTGGCCCATTCCCATCTTTTCACACACCTGGCTTGGTTTAGAGCACTCTTTGTACATAGGAAGGCAGAGAAGACTCGGTGTTTGCCCCTGCCTGTGCCAAGGAGTTTCCCTCTGTGAGCATCTACAGGTGACATTTGTTACCTCAGAGATGCTTCCAGGCTCTCAGCAAAGGTGAGTTTACCCAAGCTGGGCTTTACACTGTGTGCTCTCCTCCTTCCCTCCAACTACAGGACAGACTATCTTGCAATTCCATCGGAAAACAAGGAGAACTGTGCTGTGCCTGTGGAGGAGTAGCAGAGGGGAGGCAGCGCAGTGAACGGCGCCAAGGTGGGTCATGAAGAAGTGGTCACTCCTTGTGTCTGTCCACCCCTCAGCTTCCTTGTGGTGGGGCTGGAGACTCCTGGAGCATGGCTGTGCTCCTCTGGAGCTCCCTAGCGACCTTAGAAGCCATACAGATGTCTTTAGGTGTGGGGTGTACTTGTATTGCTTGAACCCCCAAACCAACACAGGCCACGATGTATTTGTGCCTCCTTACCTATTGCTTTGGAGTTGGGAATCTTCACTTTCCCCTGCAGCTGTGCCCATGAGGACTGGAAGGGCTCTGTCTCCCAAAGAAACACGTTCTAGGAAGGAATTTGTGTGCTACAGATTAAAATCTGGATCTCTTACTCTCTCGTTCACCTGCGGTCAGTTCCTGTGCTAACTCTGTTGCCATCCTCACCCCTGTGAGCTCCAAGAGGAATTGTCTCCCTTGCAGGGGCTCTGAAGACAGACGGACCATGCCACACCAGCCAGCTTTGAGGGGGAGCTCTGCGCCGTGGGGAGGAACACGGGGAAGTGTAAATTCTCTTCCATTTGCCTTGGACTCTGTACAGCCTTGACTTTGGTCCTGTGACCCCACCTGAGCTGCCAGCCCGGTGCTGAAGGACTCCTGTGTGGGAGCAAGTGGAGCAAACAGCACAGGGTGTGGGCAGCGCGGCTCCTTCCCGACTTTCCGCTCCATCATCACCTCAATGGCTTTGTAAATGTCACCTGTCACTTCTTAGCTGCTCTCACCACCACCTTTATTTGCTAAATGTGCTACTTCTCCACTGCAGAGGTTAAGGGTATGTATGGCACGTTGCTCTGAGCTGCAGGACTGTGAACAGGGATCTCTTAGGGGGTTATTCCACCACATACTGTGGCCCAAGAGGTTTTCTTGGTGTTAGAACAGGAAGAATTTAATTAATTAATGAAATCACTCTGAATTTTAGGCTGTCCATGCACAAGCAGAGTAGGGTGAAGACTGTAATGCACTAAAATTGGAAGTGTACAGTAGGAAGGACAGGTCCCTGTGTCATGTTCACACTTTCTTCTGGAGGGAACTGAGAATACAGACCGAGTATTCCTGCTTTGGGAAGCAGGATGATGTAAGTATAAGAATCCCCTGTGTCCCTCTCATTTATCAAGTGTCAAACCCCTCATCCCCTTCCACCTGCCTGGCACAGCAGGTTTGCCCCTGGAGTGCACAGTGGGAGGAGGAACCTGCAACAGCTGGCAAGGCAGCAGGACAAGGTAGGGGATCCAACTTTTCCTGGGAAACCCCAAGAAGGAAGGCAGCCTCATGCTGGTAGGCAGGAGAAATAAATAGGATGCACAGCCCTCACAGCTTAGTAAAATGGTTGTAGTTTTATAACTGTGGTGGTTCTCTGGTGCTATAGCAGCACCATCTAGAGGGATAGACAGAAAACACCCACTTTTCCCAGTTAATCCTAATTCTCTCTTGAGGTAATCACCGGTATAAGTAGTCTGGATTAATCCTAAATGATCTTCTGGTGCCTCGGAATCACCCTGGAAATTCCATCTTTCCTATGCAAACTTTCCTTTTCTGAGGGTTAAGCAGAATAAAAATTGTTTTCTGCCCTTCAGTGCAGATCAGTTGAGCTCAACAGCTGGGACTGGAAGGGGGAAAAGGCAGAAGCATTGGCCAGGGTGGAACTGTGCTGTAAAACCAGGTGGGGAAGGTTTGGGCTTGTTGCACGGCAGAGTTGTAACATCCCTGCTGCAACGGAGCCTGTGCTGCTTTGCCAGAGTTGACAAATTCTGCTCCACTTGTAAGTAGCTCCAACGTGCTCGTGGCTCCAGGCATGCTCCCCACCCACGGAATCCCCTCTGCTTTGTTCTGCTGCTTTTTACGTGCTCGCTAAAATCATGGAAATTACCCCATTTGTAAGGCAGGCTCAGGCCAGATTTCCAACTGGCACTTGTTCAAAACCCTTTTTTTAGAGTGGGTGTCAACTTTAAGTCAACTACTCCAGTGCAGTCTTGGTGGTAGGACTGCTCCCAAACCCAGAGCCAAGCCTGGCAAGGGGAGCACATTTTCCAGATAAAGCACACTCACAATCTGGGCACCAGTTCCCAAAATCCTGATATCCAAAAGGGATATCCAAAAGAATATCCAAGAATATTCAGCTGGAAGCCATCTTTTTCCCTATCCCAGTTTGCCTGGCAGGATCCTGAGCTCCACAGAGGGACTGGGCTGTAACTGGGGTTTCCAGCACTGCCCACGGCACTGAGCCCCTGCTGAATTTTAGGACACCTCTCTCCCACTCCAGCTCTGCTCCTCAGTCCCTGTGAGCCACAGAAAACCCTCTGGTGTCATACTGTTAAATCAAAACAGGAGTGAACCCAAGAACTTCTTGAGAGCTACCTCAGGTGGTAAAGAAGGGCCGTCCCCTTGTCCTGCACCTCCCTGAGTCCCACAGGCATCTTCTGGATGCCTTTTTGGACAAATCTTTCACTTTTCCAGTTCCTGCAGACAGAGGTGACCATTGCCTCGTGGTGTTCCAAGCAGGAGGAAACGGGGTGCAAAGTTCTGCTCAAGAATCTCGCAGGGAAAAAAGGAATAATAATTTAAAAATTGGTGATTCTTCAAGACCTGGAAGAGAAAGTCCCAGCAAAGACTCTGTGTGTGTTTGGAATGAGAGAGGAGATTCTGGAACAGGCAGGATAATAAAAAGAACTAAGAGCCACGCTGGTTGTTGGATAGATTTTTTAATTGATACCGTACTTCCATGGTACTAACTACTTACACGGAGTTTGGCTGCAGAGCCTGTACAATTCCTACATTCCACACGTACGTTCCAGTATCGCTTTGAACCGCGGGTTGCTTGTTGTTTTGTTTTGCTTTTTTGTGGTGTTTTTTTTTTTTTTTTTGCGCACAGCGCAAAGTTTCTGACAGTCGGGACAACTCCTAAAACAAACCCACAATCCTTCCCCCCACCCACCCAAGAGTCACCTCAGCCATCAGCCCCTGGGTCTGGAGGGGATTCCAGCAGGGAAGCAGGTGCCTGTGGTGGTTGTAGGAGCCGCTCCTGTGCCGTGCTGAGGAGAGCAGACCCTCGTTCATCATCCCTTGTGCACAGGAACTGCAGGACCCGCGTGGCGAGAACACGCCCCAGGGTTTTAGCAGCTTTCTCCAGCCCTGGAGCACGGGGTGGGAGATGAAATCCCACTGGAATGGTGATGTCCTGGGCTGCTCGTGGGAGGTTGTGATGCTGCCACTGCTCTGCTGCTCTTCCCTCCCTCCACATCCAGCCCAGAGCCAGGTCGGTGCTTCCACTCCTGCTCTCCAAGGGCCATTTCCCAGCAGGTGGAGATGGGGATGACGTGCGTGGCACAGGCTCCACCTCCCTGCTGGATGGAGCTGTAACAGCGGCTCTCCCAAATCCTGATTCCACTGGGCAGCTCCAGAACCTGAGCTGCACATCGGGGTTCATTCCCTACCTACTCTCGGGGTTTGGGTCAGGGAAGGTGGCCTTGAACGTTAGCAATGGAATTGGCCTAAATGAGTGAGGTAACAGAAACGGCCAGAGGAGGAACCTCCCCGAGCCATGTGCAAATATAATTCCTTCAGCAGAAGGAAGTCCTTTTCCCTACTGAAAAAAAAAATAAAATAAAACAAAACACATTCACTTGAAGAGCATACAGACTGCAGGAGGGGAAGGCAGGCAGGGACAGCACCAGGTCAGACCATCTATGACACAGGTAATGATTGTCCAGCAGCAGAGGTGCGAGGGGACAGGGAAAAGCCATAGCAAGCACTGCAAAACGTGTGGGAGAGGAGGAGGGCATGGCATGCCATGATCCATGCTAAGAGAAGCCCATGCTGTCTGCCTAGATCAGGGAATGGCCTTGATCACAGTCACCCAAGACACGAGAGTATTTGGCCAGTGTGCACATCTGGAAAAAGAGAGGTTTTATGGCACAGAGAGACTCGTGCTGGAGAGACTGCAAACACAGAGATCAGAGCGTGTCTGGTGGGGAACAGGCTGGAAAATCAGCACAGGAACCAAACTGGCACAGGTGCTCTGTGAGCCACAGTGATCACAGCATGTCCAGTGGGGAACAGGCTGGAAAATCAGCACAGGAACCACCCTGGCACAGGTGCTCTGTGAGCCACAGTGATCACAGCATGTCCAGTGGGGAACAGGCTGGAAAATCAGCACAGGAACCACCCTGGCACAGGTGCTCTGTGAGCCACTTCCCTCGGAGGCTTTGGTTCCAGAGTGTCTGTTCTGAGCTGTGTTTTAAGCAAGCCCCTGTCAGTATTTTAAGTGGTGCTGAGGCTGGAAAGATGAAGCCAGAGGCCAGGGAACTGTGCCATGGGCTGTGTCAGTGGCAGCCTGGCAGAGATCCGTGGGGAGAGCCCCTTGGAGCTGAGCAGGCAGTGCAGAAAGCACTGATCTGTCAAGAGCTGGGGGTGGCAGCAGCTGCCTGGGCAGACAGGACAGAGCTGCCTCCCCTGAGCCAGGCACTGCTGCTTTAAACAGTGATTTTAAGACTGATTTTCAGTGTAACATGGAACCAGACAGTTCCAGCTGTAAATCAGGAGTTTGTTTCTGTGCTCGTGGGGAAGGGCAGGTGCTCCTGGGGAGAACAGCTGCTGCAGCACACCAGAGCAAATCCAAAAGGTCTCAAATGCCCAGACCAAAAGTGTCTTCAGCCACTCTCTGGAAAAGAAATTTCTACCTTTTTGCACAAAGGTAAGAATAAACTCTTATGTGACGACCAGGACAGTGCTGAGGAGCCAAGGAGGCTGAAGTGTCTGTCCTTATCTACACCCAGGTGAGCTGCTGAAGCTGTCTGATAAGGACATGGATTAGCATTCCAGGATTAGCATTCCTAGAGGGGATCTCCCAGTACATGCCCTGTTATTTCACAGGCAGTTTTGTGCCTTCAGGGCTCCAAATCCAGCAAAGCCTTGTGCTTTGAAACCTTTCCTCTTCCAACCCAGGGTCATACTTCACTAGAGACATTCCCTGTGTCCAAGGTTTCTGTTTTAAGATGAGAAGCATCCAAGCAGGGTCAGGTGTCACCCAGCAGACAGGGACAGCAGCCAGAGGTGTAAATGCAGCCTGTGTGTCACACAGGCAGCTCAGGGGACATCAAAGGCATGTGCCTCTCTTCTCCTGTCCCAAAGGCAGGCAGGAAGGGCTCAGACACAAGTCAGTATCAGTTAGTGTGACTTCACAGCACAGTTTTGTGACTGAGGAGTGCCTGGAGTGCAGAGCACCCAAAAAGCTCATTATCCTGTTAACAGCTAACTCCTTCCCACTGCAAGTGCCTCTCTGCCTTTCATTTTCCCATATTTACTCTCTGGAATGTGCAGGCCCAGCAGTGCCCCTGCCTTGGGATAATCTGGTTTTTGGTTGGAATAACCTGGTTTTTTGGTCCTTCAGAGGCTTCACAGGCAGATGCTGCTGTAGGAACCTCTGGTATCCACTCTGGGAATGCCTGGCTGCACAGCACTGACCCAGGACTCAAATCCACTCAAATCCCAGCTGCCAGAACTCTAAGATAAGCTAAGCTAAGGTGTGTATTTATCAGGGCTGAGGTTGTGCCAAGGTAAGATCAGTGAGGATGTCACAAACTGGTGGATCAGAGCCTCCTGCTCCCCCTTCTCCCTCCTCCCAACAGGAAGCATCTTCCTTGGCAGGAATGAGGCTACAAGCTGTTGGCATTGCTTTTGCATGCTTGGCTGGAGAAATGCCTTTTAAAAAATAAATATAATTTTTAAAAAATCCCTGTTTTGGTGGTTGTTCAGATGGTGCAAATCAAACCCCAGCAGATGTGCAGGTGCAAGGGTCAGACTGGAAGGGGAAATGCACCTGGAAAGAATCCAGGGGGATTTCTGATGAGTGAGCAAGGGGAGAAGCAAAACCCTGCTGCTGGAAGCCAGCCTTGGCTGTGAGTGCTGGGGGAAGCACCACCCTCTGTAACATTATTCAGGCCTCTCACTCCTAGAAAGTGTTACTGATCCCTCCAGGAAATGTAATCCAAAATTGTCTCTGGCTCCAGAAGGAATTAGCCTGTCAGCTGGGACTGCTCAGGGGCAGCTGATTCCTATCCCAGCTCTGCAGAGGAAGTGAAAACACTCCAAGGTTTTCTTTAAACCCTCACCCTTAGTGCCTTAAGACCTTGCGTTTCCCCTTTTTATTACTACTGTGAGAGATTAAGAGGCAAAACAAGACTGTGAATCCCATCCAACTCCCAGGCAGACTGGCTGCCAAGTGGGAAAAAGAAAGAGCCAGAAAAAGCCGAAGCCCTAAGGCCTCAAAAAGAAATCTCCCTCAGTGTGAAGGACACTGCAGCACCAAGTTCTGCTGCCCTTGTGCTCTCACTGAAGGAATTCACATTGCTGAGTGGCAGGATGGGTGTCAAACAATTTAAAAACCCCACTTTAATGTGCAGGTAGGACAAATATCAGTGGTGAGATTGCTACAGCTGCCTGGCCTGACAGTGATTTAATAGAGCTTGTGCAGTTCTGTCTCTGGGGCTCAGCCTGAGGGAACATCCTGAGCCTGCAGCAGGAAATCTGCACGGGAGAAAGGATTCAGGGGGAGAAAAAGGGCTCCTTGCCTCCCTGACAGAATGTGAGCAGCAAACACTGATCAGCAGCATTTATCTGTGACCCTCTCTGCTTTCTCTGCATGGAAGAGTCCCCACATTCCAGGTTCCTCTTGCACAGTGTGCTCTTTCCTGGCAGGGTGGATCCCAGGCATTCCTCTGCGTGGTCCTGCCTGGTGCTTGAAATTAAATTCTAGAAGAGGGAAATCCCAGCAGCAGGAGAATTCTGTGTGCTTAGTAATTGTGGGAGTGGCTAAGAGGGGGAAGGGGGACTCTGGGACAGTCTGGCAAGTCACAGTGGGGAAAATGAGCCCCAGAAAGCCCTTCCCAGGCCCTAGCACCTCAATTTCATGGTACAGCAGCCATTTCAGCAGCCTCCCTGGGAAAAAGTCAGGGAGCAGTACAGTAGTCAGCAGCATTAAATTAAATAAATAGTCATAAATAGCCATTACTCTCTGGTTTTCCCCAGCTGGAGCTTGCTTTCACAGTCTGAAATGTCCTTTTGATAGCCTGGCTCCATCCATGCTCCTGCACATGGGAGTCTTGTGTGGGGCATGTGTTTAGCACTTGGTCCTGGGGAGAAATCAGCAGGTCACTCCTGCATCCACTGGAAAGTGGGAGCTTAGAGGGTTTTCCTCAGGCTGCACTGAGGATATTCTGTGCTACAGAATGGTGTGAGACCAATTATTCATCCTGGAGGAGCTACAACTGCACCATTTCCAAACTGGGGATGTGCAGCTGCCTCCCTCCTGCCAGCCAGAAGGTGGAAAAATCCCAGTGTTGGACAAAGTGGGACTCACATTCTCATCACCCACCTGGCTGGGGGAGAGGCAAAACCATTTATTAAACACTCCAAGAAGCAGCCTGCATCCCCACTCCAATCCCCATGGAGTCTGTGCATTGCACAGCACAGCCAAGCTGCCCCTCTTCCCCATCTGGCTGCTAATGGAGTCTGGAATTATCCCCCAGAAGAACTGAAAATGCACACTGGCTTTCTTCTAGTGCAGCTCTGGCACCTGGCTGCCTCCCAGGGCTGCACTACCCAGCTGATGGAGACACCCTCACAGCCAGCTCTGTCCTGCCACCCTCTGATGGGCCCTTTTTCCTTTCCTCCCATGGTCCCTGTCACCTTCCTGACCTCTCCTGGATTTTTGGAAGCCTTGTTGCTCCACAGATGCAGTCACATAAATATCCACAGTGATGGCTCTTGCTGCATAGATACAATTATGTAAGTTTATCCCAGGCAAGGAAAGGAAGCTGGTTTCCCCCCCCCCTCTGTTTTCCCACAGATTTTACAAGACAAGGGCTGGGTGAACAAACAGGAGAGAGATTTGCTGAGCTGGGTAGTGGGAGTGCTTGCAAATCAATCCTAATTTTGGTTTTGTGTTTAAATTTGGGTCCTCCCACCGTGGTGATTCCAGCAGCGATGCAGACCTGCAGCACAGGGGTGGCTCAGTGGCAGGGGCCCAAGCACAGGGAAAGCAGAGAACAGGAAAAGGGGACACTGTCACAGGTGTGCTCTCCCCTTCCCACACACCTGGCAGGCAGACCCTCCCCTGGCTCTCACTGCATCAGGACAGCAGGAACACGGGGGGGTTGTGGAAGGGATTGCAGCTCGGTCACCTCTGTGCTCTGCTCTCTGAGCCAGCCTGGCTGCCCTGACAGCAAATTCCTGCCCCAGGAGGGGCCTGCCAGGGGGATCTGCCCTCCACAGAGCCACAGCAGCTCCCCCTCCTCTCCAAAGCAGCTCTGCAAGGGATTGACTGCGACTGCCAGCCCTGTGTGCCCTGCAGGCAGCAGGGGGAGGGAGGTGACAGTGTCCCCTCTGGGAGGTAACAGAGCCAAGCAGGGACCTCCATGCGCAGGGAGGGGATGGGGACGGGCAGGGGGGCACTCACACTGATGCTTCCCTTTGAGACAACAGAAACAGACAGACAGACAGACAGGAATATTACAGAGGAGCAGTGCACGGGCCCAGGGAGCAGAGCTGGGCACGGCCCTCAGCACACCTCAGTGCTGGGAGAGCACAGCCCTCCCACACACACACCCACACGCCCAGAGACCCTCCAGTTCAGCCAGTGTTGGAGGTCACTCCTTCCCCTCTTCAGGCTTTTTTTCTTTTTTTTTTTTCTTTTTTTTCTCTTAAAATCTGTATATAATATATATATTTATATCTGTATATATATATATATTTATATATATATTTATATATCCTATTTACACATATTGCACACCGTCCTCTGGCCTCCTGCATTCCTGCCTGTTAATGGAAACGTTTCCTTTTCTCCTCTGGATCTGACCCGAAGTCCCTGGACCCGATGCCATTCTGGAGATTTATTAGAGAATCCTTCATCTGCAAGACAAGAGATTTCTCCACTGTGGTGCTACCCTAGAGGAGAGAACTTGGGGGTTTCCTTTTTCCCTGTATCAAGTATTGTGGTTTTGGGAGTGGGGAGTCAGGGCTGGGATGCACAAATGGGGACTGGGAATGTGGGGCACCATCTTCCAGGAGAAGGGGTGAGCAGAGTCCAGGGTAAGAATAAACTCCTGTGTGATACCAGCACAGTGCTGAGGAGCCAAGGAGGCTGAAGTCTGTCCTTACCTACACCCAGGTGAGCGGCTGAAACTGTCTGATAAGGACATGAATTGGCATTCCCTAAGTTCTCTCTCCTTAGGGGAAAGCAGCTCACATTTAGGGACTTATGAGGAAGCAGCTCTCATTTCTGAACTGTGTTTTCAGCAGCCCTGTGTGCTTTTTAGGGAGCACACCCTTAAACTCCTGGATTTATGAGGAAGCAGCTCTCATTTCTGGACTGTATTTTCAGCAGCCCTGTGTGCTTTTTAGGGAGCATGCCCCGAAATTCCTGGACTTATGCTACAAGAGTTTGTGCCCTTCCTCCCTGAAAGCTGCATGTACATCCAGGGTTCAGCTCAAACCAGTTTGCTCTCCAAGCTGGGATGACAGATGAGATACCAAATGTGCCCATATGAGGTTTTTGGCCCTGCAGGGCTCTCTCCTTGATGTGCACGGACCCCTCTGATGGGAGAGAGCAGCCACAGCCCCCTGTGACTGCCCTTGTGGTACCCACCAGCAGCAGGGGATGGATCTAAAGGAGCTGGCAGACCTGAGGGGCTGTGGTGGAAGCAGGAGGTGCTGAAGGATAGGGAGCAGGACTGGGAGGACACAGTGACACCCTGGTCACAGCCCTGCCTGCAGCTGTGCAGTCTCACCTGGTCCAGGAGCATCACCGAGGATTTGATGATCTCGCGCCATTTCTGCAGCTCTGAGTCGTGGTACTTCTGCTGGGACTCCAGCAACTGGGCCCACTCTGTCTGAGACTGGGGTAACCTGCCACAAAAACACAGGCAAGGGTCATAAAATCCCAGTTCGTACAGAGATTTCTCTTTCACAGAATTCACAGAATCATTGGATTGGAAGAGACCTCCAAGATATCAGGTCCAGCCCAGCCCCAACAGCTCAACTCAACCCTGGCCCCCAGTGCCACATCCAGGCTTTGTTAAACACACCCAGGGATGGTGACTGCACCACCTCCCCGGGCAGAACATTCCAGAACTTTATCACCTTCTCTGTGAAAAACCTTTTCCTGCTACTGCTGTCCCTCAGGTCCCTTTCTGCCTTTATTGTGAGGAATAGCTGCTCTGGCTCTTTTTTCCAAGCCTTTCCCTTCAGGACAGATGGAAGCATTCCAGGTGCTTGGATGGATTCAGGTGCTTCCACAGCAATCGTGGCTGCCACACAAAAATTACCCACGTGGAGCCACCCACGTAATTCCAGCACTTGCACATCACACTGTGCAACCAGGATGTAAGTTCTGTACTTAAACACTATTGTAGTAGTCTAAAAATCACCAAGAGCACCATAGAAAGATAAAACCAAAAAAGATAAAGTCAAAAGTATCTATAATCACCTAAACTATCTTTCTGTGGGGAAGTAGCAGGGCTGGTATGGGGAAGATAGTAATTCCTTTGCTAAGGAGGAGAAATGACACAAATAGGGCAAAAAATTCCAACACAGAGGTAGCACATGGCTATGAATGCTTGAAGTGTAGCCAGGGAGCAACTGGGACTCCAAAAAAAGGGACACAAGGGGACAAAAACACCTCGGAAAAGTGGATGCAGGACGTTCTCAGCCTCTAAAACAGACCAGAGACCACTCAGGCAGGACATCTGCATCCACAGCTTCCAAAACACAAACCTGACAGACCGTGTGTCCCAGGCCCAAATTCTCCTCTGACACAAAGGGATCATTCTAAGATGCTGCAGATACAGAGGGAAGTTTGGCCATCAGAGGAGGGGAAGTGATCCCCTCAGCCCAAAACTGCTGAACATTTATCCACAGAGCATCCTCTGTGGCCTTAACTCTGCTCTTCAGCTGCAGGGGAAATGCACACAGCCCTTCAGCTTCACGTGTTTTGCACAGCAGTGAGAGCCCAGAGCTCTGCTGTGACAGGGAAGCCCCTGACACCCAGAAAAGCCAAGGAGAGCCCCAGCAGGCCTGGCTGTACCTCTCCTGCAGCCTCAGGCCCTGCCACGCTGTCAGCGTCTGCGTGGTGTACTCCAACATCCAGAGTTTGTAGAACAGCATCATGTTGAGAATGACCAGCAGCACCAGACTGCAAAGGAAGCAAGAAAACAGCCACCTCAGGAGCACTCCACACTCGCTGCCTGCCAGGAGCACCTGGGACAACAGCCAGCCCTTCAGGAAGGTGTCTGAGGCCCAGTCCATGCTGTGAGTGGGGATTTCATCTGAGTGAGCAAAACTTCACCTCGTGGAAGAAATGTGTGAGCCAGGAGGACAGACAGACAGACAGGGCGGGGTGAGTGGATGTGCTGAATGCACAGAAAGGGAGGGAAATGGGAGAGTAAAGAGGTAAAAAAAGAGAGAGACAGTACCTGAAACAGATCCTAATGGGAGCAGGGAAGAGAAAAGACGGAGCAGCTGCAGGTTAGAAACGGACTGACACAAACTGGGTGGGAGGGGGAGGCTCAGACAGTGCAGGAGGTGCAGGGGGAAGGGAGCAGAGGGAGGAGAGGCAGAAGGACAGACAGGAATCTGTGAGCCTGCACTGCTGGTGAAGTTCCCTCAGCACAGCTGGGCTCCTGGGGACAGCAGGCAGCTGTGCAGGCACTGACACACACACAGTGCTCACAGCCAGCCTTTCCCTATCCTAGTGCAGGCACTGACACACACACCGTGCTCACAGCCAGCCTTTCCCTATCCTAGTGCAGGCACTGACACACACACCGTGCTCACAGCCAGCCTTTCCCTATCCTAGTGCAGGCACTGACACACACACCGTGCTCACAGCCAGCCTTTCCCTATCCTAGTGCAGGCACTGACACACACACCGTGCTCACAGCCAGCCTTTCCCTATCCTAGTGCAGGCACTGACACACACACCGTGCTCACAGCCAGCCTTTCCCTATCCTAGTGCAGGCACTGACACACACACCGTGCTCACAGCCAGCCTTTCCCTATCCTAGTGCAGGCACTGACACACACACCGTGCTCACAGCCAGCCTTTCCCTATCCTAGTGCAGGCACTGACACACACACCGTGCTCACAGCCAGCCTTTCCCTATCCTAGTGCAGGCACTGACACACACACCGTGCTCACAGCCAGCCTTTCCCTATCCTAGTGCAGGCACTGACACACACACCGTGCTCACAGCCAGCCTTTCCCTATCCTAGTGCAGGCACTGACACACACACCGTGCTCACAGCCAGCCTTTCCCTATCCTAGTGCAGGCACTGACACACACACCGTGCTCACAGCCAGCCTTTCCCTATCCTAGTGCAGGCACTGACACACACACCGTGCTCACAGCCAGCCTTTCCCTATCCTAGTGCAGGCACTGACACACACACCGTGCTCACAGCCAGCCTTTCCCTATCCTAGTGCAGGCACTGACACACACACCGTGCTCACAGCCAGCCTTTCCCTATCCTAGTGCAGGCACTGACACACACACCGTGCTCACAGCCAGCCTTTCCCTATCCTAGTGCAGGCACTGACACACACACCGTGCTCACAGCCAGCCTTTCCCTATCCTAGTGCAGGCACTGACACACACACCGTGCTCACAGCCAGCCTTTCCCTATCCTAGTGCAGGCACTGACACACACACCGTGCTCACAGCCAGCCTTTCCCTATCCTAGTGCAGGCACTGACACACACACCGTGCTCACAGCCAGCCTTTCCCTATCCTAGTGCAGGCACTGACACACACACCGTGCTCACAGCCAGCCTTTCCCTATCCTAGTGCAGGCACTGACACACACACCGTGCTCACAGCCAGCCTTTCCCTATCCTAGTGCAGGCACTGACACACACACCGTGCTCACAGCCAGCCTTTCCCTATCCTAGTGCAGGCACTGACACACACACCGTGCTCACAGCCAGCCTTTCCCTATCCTAGTGCAGGCACTGACACACACACCGTGCTCACAGCCAGCCTTTCCCTATCCTAGTGCAGGCACTGACACACACACCGTGCTCACAGCCAGCCTTTCCCTATCCTAGTGAGGACCTGACACACACACAGTGCTCACAGCCAGCTTTCCCCATTCCCAGTGAGGCCCTGTCTCTCACACACACACAGTTCACATCCCCCCATCCCAATGAGGCACTGTCTCTCACACACACACTGTTCACATCCCCCCTTCCCCATCCCCACCCCAGCACTGGGACACACCCCAGCCATGCCCTGCCCAGCTCCTCTCACCCCCACCACGCAGGGGGGCATTTCTGCTCCTCCCCAGGAAGAGATTCCAGAATGCCAGGCTGGTGCCTGGCTCTGAACAGTGCAGTTATTTTGCTGGAAGAATGACCCACTATGACCAGCTCAGTCAGGCGGATGGCAACGGGCCAGAGGAATATTCTGGAAACACCACAGAGGGCTCTGTGAGCCAAGTGAAGCTGTCAGGAGACGCTGGCACAGAGCTTGGGTACCTCTGTGCTATGTTCTCATCATGACAGCACCTTACAGCACCTCATTTATCACTGGCTGGGTGCTGCTGCAAGCCTCTGCATCTGTGCCCCCTCTGGGACCAGGGAACACAGAAAGGAGCTCAACTGGAGCTGTCATTTCAGCCCTGAAATCCCAGCTTCTCCCCACCTCTCTGAAAGCCAGGTGGAGCTTAAGGAAAAGCTGAGCTCAAGTCAGAAAAGCCTGGATCACTGCTTTAGACTGTTCTGCTCCACAGCAGCTGCCCAGTGAGCACTGCAGCACTGAATGAAGCCTGCTGTCAGCCCGAGGGCAGAGGAACAGTAAAACCAGTGAGTTTGGGTATTAAACTGAGCCACAGGGACGTGAGGGGCCCATTCCCAGCTCCCTTGGAGAGCACATCCCAGTCCAAGACCACCAATCCTGAAAGGTGTGGCAGGAAAGACCCAAACCAAACAGCTCCTGCTGCTGAGCTGATAAAATCACTCCAATCCCTCACACTTCAGCTGTTTCTTTACTTATTGTGCAGAAATCATCTCTCGAGGGTCTGGCAGCTTTCTGGCTGTACCTCTCATCAAAATCACTGCCCAGCACCAGACATGAAAAGGTTTTGCTTGACCAGATGTGACAGAATCCTCAGAGACACTGAGCCCTGCTGGGGTAGCCCAATGACTCCCAGAGAACTCTGCACAGTCATTGTCCCTCACAGCAGCTGGTGTGTCAGCAATTGAATCATTTGTTTTAAATTACCCACACACAGTTTCTGTGTCATTAAACATCTGTAAGCTGCATCCCTGAAGTAAAAAACTAAAAAATAAAATGCTTATACTTGTTGGATTTCTTCTCTTGTAGGTATTGACTCCTCTCTTCTTGCACAGCTGCCTCTGTCCTGATTCTCACTGTCCCTGACAGGTCCCAGACCTGCCTTTAGGACTCCCAGCTCAGAGCTGCAAAGCCCATGTTTGGCTAAAACAGGGGCAAAACCCAGGGGCAAGGAGAGAAGGGAGCACAGAACTCCAGGAGCACAGACAAACCAAAGGTGTTCAATGCTGGCTGGCGAGGAGAGCAGAAAAAACCTCACTTACACAAAGCTGATGACAAGGAGCAGCTTGGAGACACTCTGCAGGTGGAAGCCACTGGGGCTCTCCTCAGGGATGTGCCGTGTCTGAGTGGAACCTGAGGAGATGGGATGCATTTGGGATGGGAAACAGGGAAGGGCAACCCCTGATCCTCTACCCACCCTCCACCTCACCCAGACAACCCCAACACTGCCCCTCCGTGACAAACCCCTGCTTGTCCCCATCCCCAGCTGCTCACCTGCCACGTGCTTGATTCGATGGGCAACCTCCTCATCCGTGGGGGTGGTGACGGGGCTGAGCACCTCCTCCAGGTGTGGCACCCTCAGGTGGGCGTGGGCGCGTTTCCGCCGCCGCACCGTGGATTGCTTGCTCACCTTCTCTTTGGGGGATTGTCTGTGCACCTCAGCCAGGTACGTGCTCTCTGTTTTGGTCAGCTCGCTCTCTGCAGCACCAAGGGGGAGCATTTTGTAGAGAGAGAGAGGTTTAACCCCTCTGCTGTGGTGCTTTAGGATTTCAGCTTTTCTATTTTCCATCTGTTTGTAACCCTGCAGTTCTTTAGTGCAGAACTCCAAACTCCACACACAGTGGGAGCTGCTGCTTCCCCATTTGGGGCAGACACAACAATTCCTCTCCAGGCCTGGCAATCAAGGACACCTCACTGCCTCAGGCCTGAGAGATGGAAACAAAAGGGAGTTGGGGGAGCAAACTTGGGGTCAATGACTTCATTGGCTGAAGCTGGAATTGGCAGATTCACCCCGAAAATGCAATGGACCAAACTTATGAAAGTATGAAAACCCGTGACCCACTGTCCATTTTTGGGTGGGCTTTGCCTGCCCTAAATGTACCTGAAGGTCCTTCAATAAATAAATCTGCTTTTTATTCTCTTAATTTTGCCTGGCCACTGGTTTTAAGTAGCCCCCAAAAAATCATCAGCTGGACCAAAGAAGCTGCTGCGCAGGGTCTGAGAGATTTGTGCTCCACATTCCTCGCACCTTTCACCAAAATTTGACCCCAAACTGCCTGACAGGGAGCAGGATTTGCTGCCCTGATTAATTCCAGCAGGTCATTTATTCCAGCTGTGGTAGCCCCTTTTGTAAGCCCCCCCAGGGCTGGCTCATGCTGCCCACTCCCAGGGAAACACGAGTGCCACTGGCATTGCCTCTCCTACCTAAGTGACGGAAATAATCTTCCAGGCCGCTCCAAAAATTCTTCTCAATGAAGGATTTCACCAGCCCCCAAGGCTGTTTCCTGTAGCGTAATTCTGTGGAAACCCTGTGAGGAGGCAAAGGTCAGTCATTCCCCTGGTTTTGCTTCCTGGGGGTGATGTCAGCTCACAATCCTTGTCAGTGTAAATCCAGGAAATAATCATGTACACTGTTATTTCTGGAATGCTCTCAGCCCTTCATGTTTCCAGAGGAAAAGCACTGCTGGAAAAATCCTTCCAAAGGCAGGAAGAGCCTCTCCCAAGAGCACTCCAGGGCCATTTGGCAGACACTTGGATTATCATTACTGAAGCCACACGGACATAGCTCTGCCCAGTACTCAATTCCTCTGTTTAGTCCCAGGACGTTCATCCTGTGCTTGTCACAGTCTGCAGTGCTAACAGGCTCTGCAAACCCCTGCATCCAAGAGAGAGGCAAGAAAAATCTGTAAATCCTCTCCCTGATGCAGCTGTAATTCCTCTGCACTGATGGCAACCCAGCAGGTGAAAATCCTGCCCCTGCTCTTGGTGACAGGAATGTCCCAGCAACAGGACAAAGAAGAAGATGTGACAGAATCCTCACAGACACTGAGCCCAGTGACTCCCAGAGAACTCTGCACAGTCATTGTCCCTCATAGCAGCTGGTGTGTCAGCAATTAAATCATTTCTTTTAAATTACCCACACACACAGAGTTTCTACGTGTCATTGAAAATCTGTAAACTGCGTCACTGATGTAAAAAAATAAAAAATAAAACACTTGTTGGATTTCTTCTCTTGTAGGTATTGACTCCTCTCTTCTTGCACAGCTGCCTCTGTCCTGACTGTCACTGTCCCAGACCTGCCTTTAGGACTCCCAGCTCAGAGCTGCAAAGCCCATGTTTGGCTAAAACAGGGGCAAAACCCAGGGGCAAGGAGAGAAGGGAGCACAGACAAACCAAAGGCATTTAATGCTGGCTGGGGAGGAAAGCATTAAAAAATAATAATAATAAAAAAGAAACAAACAAAGAAATAACCCCCTCAACCCCTCCTAACACACCCAAACAGCAAAACCCCCTCCCAAAGGTGCCTTTTGCTCATCGTTCACTCCCCAGGAGAGGTACCTGAGTCGGCTTTTGTTTCTGGCAACACGAGTCAACGTGTAGCGGTTAATGGTGTAGAAATAATCGTGGTAGGGGACGTCGTGAGTTAGCACCTCTGCATCTATGACATAGCACTCGCTCTCCTGGCTGGCTTTGTACATTGTCTGCAGGAAAAACAGCGTGCAAGGCAACTCTGAGTGTGCTCAGGATGCTGCTCTGAGAGACTGGCACCTCCAGCAGCACTCTGCGAACAGGAGACACCGCCACGCCCCAGCCCCGCTCTGCAGCTCTGCTGTGAGCAGCTCACCCCGAAGGGAAGGCAGAGGAAAACCAGGGTTTCACCCAGATGCTTCTTGTGAGTACATTTTTAAAAGGGCATTCAGCTCCTGCCTCCAGGATTTTGTAACAGAGGTGTTACACACAGTGCCAGGTGGGGACTGGCTCACTAGGACCTCTCCAAGTGGGACCTCTCCTAGTGGGACCATTCCAAGTGGAACCTCTCTGAGTGGGATCTCTCCAAGCAGAACCTCTCCAAGTGGGACCTCTCTGAGTGGGATCTCTCCAAGTAGAACCTCTCCAAGTGGGACCATTCAAAGTGGGACCTCTCTCTTCCACCAAGTGGGACCTCTCTGAGTGGGACCATTCCAAGTGGGACCTCTCTGAGTGGGATCTCTCCAAACAGAACCTCTCCAAGTGGGACCTCTCCAAGTGGGACCATTCCAAGTGGGACCTCTCTCTTCCGGTGTCTGCCTTGTCAGGGACCCACCTGAGATTTTAGCATGAATTCTAGCTAATAAATTGTCTGGCATAAATCATTCTGTGATTCTAAACACCGTAAGAACGCATCACTTTCTTCTTTTAAGTGCTTCTGATGTGCTTTTCCCTTTGCTCCAGAGCAAATCTCCCCCAGAGGACAGACAGACAGACACAGGTAAGCACAGATCCCTGGACAAAGCATGGCTTTTCCTGCAGACTGTTCCCACTCAGCTCTGCAGTGAGGACACACAGGGGGTGCTTTGGTGGTTGAGCCAAACTCAGAATTAAATAAACCATGGTTTGTTTATCTGAGGGTGTGCACTTCCCTTTGCTCTCCCTTTTCCTTTCTGCTCCCTGCACCTCTCCTCACACCCTCACCAGTCCCACCTTGCTGCTGGCATCCCCCTCTCTGAAATGTGGTGCTCAGACCCCTTTTCCTGGCTCACTCTCAGCAATCCCTAAAGCTCACTCTCAGTATTTACCCTTGGCTACTTGAACACATCTCTAGACATGGAAAGAAGCTTTTCCTCCCCGCTAGAAACAGCCAGCCTGGCTCCTCCCAGTGCATTGTTTCCCTTTTTTACCTTTTTTAAGAGATCATCTCACTGTCCTCAACACAACAATAAATCCACAACACCCTGTGGAGCTATGAGAAGGACTGGTCAGGCAGTATCTGACTTCCTGAGTAATATTTGCTGGGCTGAGCACAGCTCAAAAACCACCAGTTTGGGTGAGAAAACCCTGCCTTGTTCACAAACTCAGCTGCTTTGCTGGGAAATTTGGGGTGCTTTCAGGAACTATTAACTATTCATGGCTGCAGTGATACTGGGCAGCAAGTTAAAGCAAGGAAATGTGAACAGAAAAATGGACAGGGATAACGAAAACATGCTCAGGATTAGAAAATAACTCTCAGAAAAGTTCCAAGCATCCCAGCCCTGCTCCACTGTCACTTACCTGAGTCTCAGTGACTGTGGCAGTTTTGGGGGCCAGAGGGTTGGTGAGGGTGATGGTGTACAGGATCACTCTGGTCTGATTGCCATTTTCCTCCTTCTTCCAGGGGTGAAAGATAATGTCTGAGAGGATAAAGCAACATTCCAGTCAAGTGACTGGGGAGGGACCTCAGTCAGTCCCCTGGGGAAAGGCAGAGCCATATAACCAAGCTGGGGATGGGATTTCCTTCCCCTTGGGGAGCCTGGCTGCTCTAGAGCTCAGCTGAGTGTGAAACAAAGGCCTCCTGTGCTAAATGTGAGTATTTTCCCCTCTTTCAAGGGCAAGGAAAGGGGAGAGGCTGGGGATTTATCTCCTTCAGCAAACCTACAGTTACAGGGAAAGGAGGACTATGACACACTGAGGAATTCTCTCTGCAGCTCTGTCTGTGTCAGGTGTGGAGCTGGAAGAGCTTTTTCCTCACACTGCTAAGCCTTGAACAGAAGATCAGGCTTTAGGTGATGATAAAAAATAAGAAAATCAGCTTTTTCCATAAAAAAGCTGTTCCAGCTGTTAGAAAATGAAACCAGACGGGCACATAGATCCTGCTGCTTTTGGCTACCACCAGCACAGGCCACTCTGTCCCAAAATCTGCTCCGAATGTCACCTAAGCAGACAAAATTGTAGCTCCAAGGCAGAGCCCTTCCCCCTGCAGCCCCTGGGCAGCTCCAGCAGCAGCAGCAGCTCACCAGAGAAGCGGCGCTGCTCCATGAAGTCCCTCTGGAACTGGGAGTCAGTGAAGAGCAGGTCGTAGAGCTTGTCCACGCTGAAGTTGAACACCTCGTTCACGTACTGGCGCCCGTTCAGGTCCTCGTAAAAGGCCTGGACTTCCCCTGTGGGCAAAGAGAACCTCAAGGTCCAGCCATGACCCTCCAGGGTGATGAAAAATGTGCTTCCACAGCACCAGGACCTCAATATTTCAGATGGAATCTAAAGGAGGACTTCAACTGATGCCTTTTCTATTTTTCACATTCTGTGCTGCTTCAGTGTGTGGGTCTGGGTTCACATCAGGGGATGGGGAGCTCTGCACAGAGCAGGGACACAAAACAATTCCTGCTCCAGCTGGGCCCCAAGGACAAATGATCCAAATCTCAGCCCAAGAGCACAAACAGCGTGGGCTGGAGAGAGAAAAACAAGCAGGATGGGAGTGCAGGGGCTGAGCTGGAATTGGATACGGAACTGCAATGTGCACATGGAGCAGAGCTGATCCCAGGGAGAGACCCCGTGAGCGCTCGTGCATTTTGGGACCATTTGGGTTCATCTTGGGTGCAGCCCTGGCTGGGCTCTTGTGCTGCCCAAGGTGCAGCCATGGAGGAGATCCTTTTAATAAATCCCTGCTTTATTCTGTAACTTGGTCCAGCCTCTGCTCTAGGCCAGCTTTCACAAGGCAACACAACTCTTTTCCTGCACTGATCCCAGGGCAAGAAGTTGGGACATCAGAAGGGATAATTAATTACATAGGTAAGGGGTAATTAATTATTTTAGGCACATCCTAAAATATTTAACCACATCCTAAAATGTAAACACATTTACTTTCTGCAGCCCACAATGGGAATTCTTTGCATCTTCAGGGTCCAGAAAGGATTTCAGTAGTCACCACTCCACTCCCTCACAGGGAGGGATGGGATAAGGCTGGAAGGAGCCCTGATGGAGTGGATGATGGAGTGGCCTTTCCCCACCCACCTTCATCGTGGGTGTCTGAGGAGTCACTGAGCTCTGTGGGAATGTCCTCGTTGTCATTGAAGTCCAGGGAGGGGGAGTTCACAGGGCCAATGATGTCGATCTTCTCTCCCATGATGTTGGCAATGCCAAGGTCCTTCTCCACAGGACTCTCTGCCACTGCCTCCTCCTCTTCTGGGAGCACTCCATCGAACTGCAGCAAGGACAGGGCACAACAAGGGCAACATCAGCACCTGCAAATGGGCTTTATTTCAAAAAACCTCACATCTCTGAGACTGTCTCTGAATATTTGGCTTTAACTTACCTGGAAATTAAATAGAGAGAGGAGGACAACTGCTATACAGTGTTTGTAAAACCTCCTTCCAAACAATCAGTGTTCAAGCTTTGAACACCACCAGGATTTTTGTTCAGACAAGAACAATATTGTCCAATACTGGTATTGCTCCTGAACAAACTAAAAGAACCTAAGGTAATATCTAATCAAGGTCTGCTCTGCCATAATACCAGGAGGGTACACACTGTTTTCCAGGGAATAACTGAAGGCAGGGAAGAAACTGCAACCCTTTTATGTCCAAAACTTTTCATCCAGAAGTACAGAAAGGAAAATGCTCTTGCTGCTGAGAGTCCCAGTAAAAAAATCACTAACCAAGGACTGAAATCAGCAGCAATGGAAGAGGAGCTAGAGGTGAACAAACCTCATACAACCCACGGGGTGCTGGATTTCAGGGAAAACAAATTCCTGCTGCCAGGGGAGGGAGAAAACTCACCGAGGCTGGGGCTTCACTGCTTCCCGTGGAGGTCAGGGTGCTGGCAGTGACAGATTTCTTTGGCAGCTGAGGGCTGGCTTCTGGCTTGGCCTCCATGCTGCTCTTGGAGGAGCTGTCGTTGACTTCATTCTCCTCCACGGGGATTTCTTCGCAGTAGCTGGGACGCCACAGAGAACACAGGTTTTTATGGTTACCCCTCTCACAACAGCTACAGCTGCACACACAGAGCAAGTGAGAATGTTTCTATGAAGTTTCCAGGCTGTCCAGAAGCAGGAATGGCTCAGTGCAGGGGAGAGCAAGCCACAGTTTTTTGGGTGTTTATACAGGGATTGACAAGCATCAGCATTTTCTGGCCATGCAACACTGCCTGGCCTTGTGACCGGGGTGCTTTGGCATTTCTAGAATTGTTCAGCTGGCTCAGCAGGCATTTCAGTCCCTCCCAGTGATGCCTTAAGTTTGAGCTTTTCTATTTTTCAGATCCTGTGCTGCTTTAGTGTGTAGTTCTGAGCTACATATTAGGGGATGGTGAGCTCTCTTCACAGAGCAGGGAGACAAAACAATTCCTTCTCTAGGAATTGAGAAGGAATTGTTGACAATTGACCAATAGTCCTTGGTCCCCTTGTTCTTGGGGACCAAGGGCAATCGATACAAGGTTCAGGCCCAAGAGCACAAACACGATGGGCTGAAGAGAGAAAAACAAGAAGGATGGAACTTCATAACCTTAAGCTGTAATTGGACAATTAACTCCAATGTGCAAATGGAGCAGAGCTGATCCCAGGGAGAGACCCCGTGAGCGCTCGTGCATTTTGGGACCATTTGGGTTCACCTTGGGTTCATTTTGTGACCATTTTGGTTCATCTTGGGTGCAGCCCTGGCTGGGCTTTTGTGCTGCCCAAGGTGCATCCATGGAGGCCTTTTAATAAATCCCTGCTTTATTCTTTAATTCTGTCCAGCCTCTCTCTAGGCCAGCTTTCACAAGGCATCACCAGCTTCCATGAGGAACCCTCCACTCCCACCTTCTAGGCATCACACATTCCAGAGCCACCACTGGTCCAGGTCCCAGATGTGTCAGCACAGGCAGCATTTGGGGCATGCAGCACCCCCTGCTCCCCTGGGGCCACCTCTGCCCCCTCCCAGAGAGCTCAGCCCTCCCCACTCACCCCATGGTGTTGAAGTCATCATCGGGAGGCACGTAGTCTTCGTCGTCGCTGGTCAGCCCCAGCTCGTTGCCGTAACACTGGTGGACAAAGTGCCAGAGCTCCTTCGGGCACAGGGGCTGCAACAGGAGCACAGAACATCACACGTGTGCAGCTGAGATTGCAAAATACACTGGGAGTCTGGGATTGTCACTGCCAGGACATTCCAGAGCTCCTTTGGGCACAGGGGCTGCAACAGGAGCACAGAACGTCACACGTGTGCAGCCAAGAATGCAAACTACACTGAGAGCCTGTAATTGTCACTGCCAGGAGGATATTCCTTGCCCTGAAAGAGGTGAGAGATGCTGATAATTGAGGTGAGAGCCTTTCTGTGGGCTCAGCTCTGTGAAATTCCATTTTATGGACTTCATTATTATTTAATTTTTATTACTTATTTTGTATATATTTTATTTCTATTTATCTATTTTTATATATTTACATATATGTGTGTGTATCTATGCATATTTATACATATGTGTGTGTATGTATGCATATATATATAAGTATGTATAAGTATATATATGTATATCTATTTATTTTTTAAAATGTATATTTATATATGAGGTGAGAGCCTTTCTGTGGGCTCAGCTCTGTGAAATTCCATTTTATGGACTTCATTATTATTTAATTTTTATTACTTATTTTATATATATTTTATTTATATTTATTTATTTTTGTATATTTACATATATGTGTGTGTATGTATGCGTATTTATATATATGTGTGTGTATGTATGCATATATATATAAGTATGTATATGTATATATATATCTATTTATTTATTAAAATGTATATTTATATATATACATGTATATGTATACATGTATGTAATATTTAAAATATTATAAATGTAGCCATTATATTTCTATAATTATACATATGTAATTTATGTAATTTATGGTAACATTTTCTATTTTAAATATTAATTTTAAAATAATTTATTCTGGATATATTTTATAAAAATTATATAACTTTATTATAAATATACTAAAATATAATAAAGGCTACAATACATAAAATTATATATAATGTATTATGTATATAATTTTACATATTATGTGTAATATAAAATATTATATATAAACATACATACAATATATAAAATATGTAATTATATATATGATAATATATAAATATATATAATATATGCCATTATATGCAATGTTTTATTATAGCTATATTTTATTATTTATTTAATCTCTGACCTAGAGATTCCCCCACGGAGCACAAACAGGCCCTGACACCAATAATCCCCCACCACCAGCCCCACATCTGACACTGTGATTTTTCCATGCCACAATCTCCTGTTCCTTTGAAATGCCAGCAAGTACACCCAGAGCAGCTCAGGGATGGGATTTCCCACGAAGCAGGGCTGGAATGTCCCAAAGGAAGCTCTAAACCTGCATTTCCCTCCACAGATCTTTTCCCACCTCTTCTGCCGTGCCCCCATTCAGTGTCTGCTGCTCCATCAAACCCAAAGAATTTATGAGGGTTTTTTTTTTTCCCTCCCCTTCACCTTTTTTTAAAATTAAAGCTGCCCAAAGAATCCCAGCTTCAGGGAAAATTATCTAAAACCATCTAGAAAAAAATTTAAAACTTAAATAAAATAAAAAAAAATTAAAGAAATTAAAAATTAAAATTATCTAAAGCAATGAAGAAAAACATTTCCTGCTACAGTTTGGAATCAAAATGAGTTTGTGTCACCAGACACACCTGTGAAAAGTAAAAAAGAAGTAAAGAAGAAAAAATTAATTACCCAGCCCATTGAAAAAAGCCCATTTTAGGGATGCAGGTCAGTGATCACCACATGACTGTGACATGAGGCTCTGAAAAATGGGGCAGGAGAACTTGTGATTAAAGATGAGCTACAGGCATGAAAGGGGATTTTTACCCCTAAGAAACTTATGACCAACGACAAAGATTTCTTGGTAATGAGGGGAAACAAACCCAGTGAAATTTTCTGAGTTGCTGGCTTGAATTTCTTCCCATAGTAACTGCATGGGATAAGGCAGGAATTTTTTTAATCTAGCTCCCCACAGAAGCAACCAAAAGCATGGAAGAAAAAAAGCCTCTGAGAACTTCATCCAGAGCAATCTCCTCCTTCCCACACACATTAACTCACACCCTTGTCTTATCAGGAAAACTGGACTCAGCTTTTTCTCCCCTTTTCCTGCCAGCTACAGATCCCACATTTGGAAAAAGAGCTCTGGAAGTGCTTCCTGTGTTTATCACCCCCTGCCTCAGCTCCCTTGTGCCTTGACCCTGAGACCAAGGACGCTGAATTTCCTCGGGAGCTCCAAAATCTGCTCAGGTTACAACCACAGGCAAGGTGATCCTTTCTGCTCCTAAATCCTACCCCACTTTTTTTGGGACAGGGTATTCCTGGTGCCTCATTCCTCCAGCAGGGTCTGAATTCTAGCCAGGACACCCCGAGATGCTGGGAGCAGTGTGACAGCAGGTTTATTGCTGCCAGGAATGCCCTCCCCACTGTGGAACAGCTACTCAAATCAAACCCAGGATTTACAGGGTCTCTGGCACTGCAGGAGCAGATTTATTTTAAAATCCAACCCACTGAGCCCTCACCCAGTGCACCCTGCACCCACAACTGCTCTCACTCGGATTTGGGATGCCCTGAACGTTCATCTTCTGTCCTGCCTGGATCTCCACACTCCTGGAGCACAGATTTACTGAGAGCTCTGCCTGCACAGTGAGTTATTCCTGCTGCTTTTTGAACTGCTTTCTTGAGGGCTGCTCCACTGTGGAATAACAGACTTCCCCAAAAAAAAAAAAAAATTCCCTCCTGAGACCCTGATTCCTCAGCAGAGTGGCACCTACTGTGTGTGATTTGCCCCAGAAAATGGGTGATTAACACCAGCAAAAAAAATTCCCTGCAAAAAGAGGGAATTGCCTCTGCAGTCATGAGCCTGCTCTGCCTGAACACTGGTGTTTAATGTCCCTACTGCCCAAAACCACTTGTGTTTTATGTCCCTTCTGCCCAAACACTTGTTTTTGCTGTCCCTGGGTGTTTTCCAGCCAGAAGTGATGCTCCTGCCCACACCCATCCCCCCCAGCTCTGAGGTTTCTCTCTGTACCTTGTCAAGCAGAGCATTCTGCCAGAGTCTGAACATCATCATGTACGTCCTGTCCCGAGCCCCAAAGGAAGTAAAAAAGTGCTGGATGGGGAGAGAGGGAGAGAAAAATCAGCTGAGAAAAAGCCAAAAAACAGGAGAAGAACACAACAAGGCTGTTTGGGGTCACTTTCCAGCTGGGGTGAGCCATCCACAGAGCACAGAGTGAAGCTCATGGAGAGGCTCTCACCAGGGAATGGGCACTGAAACAGCTCTGTTAGAGATGTGCTGCTGTAAAACCTGGATATTTCACCTGGCCCCACGCCTGAGCTCCAGCCAGAGCCCAGCTCAGCACAAGCCCTGCTCCCAGCCCTTTGCCCCGCTTGGAAAAACCCCACACACACTCCAAACGCCCTTCCAGCCACGCAGGGGTGGCCTCAGCTGGGTGGGATGTACCTTTTCAGTGTCAGTGCAAACTTGGATGGCATTGGGAATGAGCCGTGCTGTCTTCTCCTTGGTCATGGAGCAGATGTCCTTCAAGCGAACTGTCAGCTGCACCAGGCAGGGAAAAACACCAGGGAAGGGAGAAATTCATGAGAAAGGCAGCAAAAGAGCTTTTCCAAAGCCAATGTGGGCACAGCTCTGGGGTTGGCAGCACTGGGAGAGCCTCACCAGTGTCTCAAGGCAGGGAAAAACACCAGGGAAGGGAGAAATTCATGAGAAAGGCAGCAGAAAAGACATTCCAAAGCCAATGTGGGCACAGCTCTGGGGTTGGCAGCAGTGGGAGAGCCTCACCAGTGTCTCCCAGGCAGGGAAAAACATCAGGAAAGGGGGAAATTGATGAGAAAGGCAGCAGGAAGAGCCCTTCCAAAGCCAATCTGAGCACAACTCTGGGGTTGGCAGGAGGGGGAGAGCCCCAGCAGGGTCTCCCAGGCAGGGAAAACACCAGAGAAGGGAAAAATTCATGAGAAAGGTAGCAGAAAAGACATTCCAAAGCCAATGTGGGCACAGCTCTGTTGTTGGCAGCAGTGAGAGTTCCTCACCAGTGTCTCCCAGGCAGGGAAAAACACCAGGAAAGGGGGAAATTCATGAGAAAGGCAGCAAAAGAGCTTTTCCAAAGCCAATCTGAGCACAACTCTAGGGTTGGCAGGAGGGGGAGAGCCCCAGCAGGGTCTCCCAGGCAGGGAAAACACCAGAGAAGGGGAAAATTCATGAGAAAGGTAGCAGAAAAGACATTCCAAAGCCAATGTGGGCACAGCTCTGTTGTTGGCAGCAGTGAGAGTTCCTCACCAGTGTCTCCCAGGCAGGGAAAAACACCAGGAAAGGGGGAAATTCATGAGAAAGGCAGCAAAAGAGCTTTTCCAAAGCCAATCTGAGCACAACTCTAGGGTTGGCAGGAGGGGGAGAGCCCCAGCAGGGTCTCCCAGGCAGGGAAAACACCAGAGAAGGGGAAAATTCATGAGAAAGGTAGCAGAAAAGACATTCCAAAGCCAATGTGGGCACAGCTCTGTTGTTGGCAGCAGTGAGAGTTCCTCACCAGTGTCTCCCAGGCAGGGAAAAACACCAGGAAAGGGGGAAATTGATGAGAAAGGCAGCAGAAGAGCCCTTCCAAAGCCAATGTGAGCAGCAGTGAGAGAGCCTCACCACTATCTCCCAGGCAGGGAAAAACACCAGGAAAGGGAGAAATTCATGAGAAAGGCAGCAGAAGAGCCCTTCCAAAGCCAATGTGAGCAGCAGTGAGAGAGCCTCACCACTATCTCCCAGGCAGGGAAAAACACCAGGAAAGGGAGAAATTGATGAGAAAGTCAGCAGAAGAGCTCTTCCAAAGCCAATGTGGGCACAGCTCTGGGGTTGGCAGCACTGGGAGAGCCTCACCAGTGTCTCCCAGGGAAAAACACCAGGAAAGGGAGAAATTCATGAGAAAGGCAGCAGAAGAGCCCTTCCAAAGCCAATGTGGGCACAGCTCTGGGGTTGGCAGCAGTGGGAGAGCCTCACCAGTGTCTCCCAGGGAAAAACACCAGGAAAGGGTGAAATTCATGAGAAACGCAGCAGGGACAGCCCTTCCAAAGGGAATGTGAGCAGAGTCCTGGGGCTGGAAGCAGGGTCTGGGTCTCCCAGGCAGGCAAAAACACCAGGAAAGGCAGAAAGGGCTGAGGAAGGCAGCAGAAGAGCCCTTCCAAAGGCCTCACCAGGGTCTCCCAGCGGAAGATGTTGCTGTAGAAGCAGATCCAGTTCTCGGAGAGGTAGAGGCGGCCCTGCAGGAGAATGTCCCTCTGGAGAGCACATGAGTAATCTGTGGAGGACAGCACGTGGTCAGCGAGGAGCAGGACACCACAAGAAGCCACTGATGCCTTAAGATTTTTACCTTTGTGCTTTTTAAATCCTGAGCTGCATCAGTGCATGACTCTAAACTCCATGTCAAGTGTAGTTAACTTTTCATGTTTTGGTCAGAAAAAATAATTCCTTTGGGCCTGAAAATCAAGGACACTTGACAGCCTCAGGCCCCAAAAAGTATAAACAAAAGAGAATTGGGGAAGGGAAGAAACGAGGGGAATATGACTTCATTACCTGAAACTGCAATTGGACAATTAACCCCTGATATGCAAATAGATCCAACTTATATTTGTCTGAAAAATTTGTGACCATTTTGGTTGTAGCCCAAATACATCCACTTCATGGATATATTTAATATATTTAGGGATATAAACATATGCTAACATATATAAATATAATATATATAAAAATATGGATATATTTATATTATTTATATGTCTATATATGTGTATATATATAAACATGGATATACTTGTATTATTTATTTATATATGTATGTATATATATAAACATGGATATATTTATATTATTTATTTTTATATATGTATATATACAAAAACATGGATATATTCATATTATTTAATTTTTATATATTTACATTTTAAATATATGCATATGTATATATATAAACATGGATATATTTATACTATTTATTTTTATATATGTGTATATATATAAACATGGATATATTTATATTATTTATTTGTATATATGTATATATACAAAAACATGGATATATTTATATTATTTATTTTTATATGTGTATATATATATATATAAACATGGATATATTTATATTATTTAATTTTATATATTTACATTTTAAATATATGCATATGTATATATATAAACATGGATATATTTATATTATTTATTTTTATATGTGTATATATATATATATAAACATGGATATATTTATATTATTTATATATATATGTATGTATATATAAACATGGATATATTTATATTATTTATATATATATGTATGTATATATAAACATGGATATATTTATATTATTTATTTTTATATGTATGTATATATAAACATGGATATATTTATATTATTTATATATATATGTATGTATATATAAACATGGATATATTTATATTATTTATTTTTATATGTATGTATATATAAACATGGATATATTTATATTATTTATATATATATGTATGTATATATAAACATGGATATATTTATATTATTTATTTTTATATCAGGGAAAAACACCAGGAAAGGGAGAAATTCATGAGAAAGGCAGCAGAAGAGCTCTTCCAAAGCCAGTGTGGGCACAGCTCTGGGGTTGGCAGCAGTGGGAGAGCCTCACCAGTGTCTCCCAGGGAAAAACACCAGGAAAGGGTGAAATTCATGAGAAACGCAGCAGGGACAGCCCTTCCAAAGGGAATGTGAGCAGAGTCCTGGGGCTGGAAGCAGGGTCTGGGTCTCCCAGGCAGGCAAAAACACCAGGAAAGGCAGAAAGGGCTGAGGAAGGCAGCAGAAGAGCCCTTCCAAAGGCCTCACCAGGGTCTCCCAGCGGAAGATGTTGCTGTAGAAGCAGATCCAGTTCTCGGAGAGGTAGAGGCGGCCCTGCAGGAGAATGTCCCTCTGGAGAGCACATGAGTAATCTGTGGAGGACAGCACGTGGTCAGCGAGGAGCAGGACACCACAAGAAGCCACTGATGCCTTAAGATTTTTACCTTTGTGCTTTTTAAATCCTGAGCTGCATCAGTGCATGACTCTAAACTCCATATCAAGTGTAGTTAACTTTTCATGTTTTGGTCAGAAAAAAATAATTCCTCTGGGCCTGAAAATCAAGGACACTTGACAGCCTCAGGACCCAAAAAGTATAAACAAAAGAGAATTGGGGAAGGGAAGAAACAGGGGGAATATGACTTCATTACCTGAAACTGCAATTGGACAATTAACCCCTGATATGCAAATAGATCCAACTTATATTTGTCTGAAAAATTTGTGACCATTTTGGGTGTAGCCCAAATAGATCCACTTCATGGATATATTTAATATATTTAGGGATATAAACATATGCTAACATATATAAATATAATATATATAAAAACATGGATATATTTATATTATTTATATACATATATATGTGTGTATATATATAAACATGGATATACTTGTATTATTTATTTATATATGTATGTATATATATAAACATGGATATATTTATATTATTTATATACATATATATGTGTGTATATATATAAACATGGATATACTTGTATTATTTATTTATATATGTATGTATATATATAAACATGGATATATTTATATTATTTATATACATATATATGTGTGTATATATATAAACATGGATATACTTGTATTATTTATTTATATATGTATGTATATATATAAACATGGATATATTTATATTATTTATATACATATATATGTGTGTATATATATAAACATGGATATACTTGTATTATTTATTTATATATGTATGTATATATATAAACATGGATATATTTATATTATTTATATACATATATATGTGTGTATATATATAAACATGGATATACTTGTATTATTTATTTATATATGTATGTATATATATAAACATGGATATATTTATATTATTTAATTTTATATATTTATATTTTAAATATATGCATGTATATCTATAAACATGGGTATATTTAATCCATATAAACACGGATATATTTAATATATTTATCATATGCTTTAAACTTTGTCTGGCCTCTGCTTCTAGGCAAGCCCAAAAAAAGGCACCAGGAGAGCCTAAAGGAGAGGATGAGCAGCAGCATCAAGAGAAGCCACTCCAAGGCAAAGGCAGGGGCTGAGCCCCAGCTGCTGCCTGTCCCCTGGGCTGATTCTCCAGGGGCCTGTCACACCCAATCTCTGTGCCTGACTGACGCTCTGCCTCACCAGCTGCTCGCTGTGCACCATCCCAGGTGCTGGTTCCAGATCTCATCCGTCTCCTCCCTCCCGGTGTCACGGTGAGTTTTCCCCCGGTTTGAGCAGCGTGGGCACAGGAGGGGATGCCCCGTTCTGCAGGACACGGCAGCAGAGGCATCTCACCAGCCGGGAGGTGACGTTTGGGAAGGGCAGTGTGTGAGCAGGGATGATGGTGTCAGGAAAATTCATCCATAAACACCAGAGTTAGATGTCCAAAAAGTCCTGTAACTTTATTCCAATCAAGGGAGAGGCCATGGGGCATTCCCCTGGGGTCTCTCCAATTTTTGGAGGATGCAGCCTCCTTTTTATCCCAATTTCCCAGCCACATTTCCCTCTCTCTTTCCCCACTGGCAGAGGTACTTGACAAGTTCAGACTTCCCAGAACACCTGATCCAAAAGATTCCCCTCTAATGTATAACCCTGCCTTTTAATGTTTAATTCTTATGGAATTTAGGGGTTTTTCTTCCCCATTGTTTCTTTCATCTTTCAATGTCTAATTTCATTGATCAGCCAACCTACATTTTATTTGTACAAGTAAATATCCTTTTCCATTCATCAATCAGTGGAATCCTTCCCATTGTTTCTTTTCTCTCTCAGTGCTGGTTTTATCTAATCACTGGCAGAGGTACTTGACAAGTTCAGACTTCCCAGAACACCTGATCCCAAAGATTCCCCTCTAATGTATAACCCTGCCTTTTAATGTTTAATTCTTATGGAATTTAGGGGTTTTTCTTCCCCATTGTTTCTTTCATCTTTCAATGTCTAATTTCATTGATCAGCCAACCTACATTTTATTTGTACAAGTAAATATCCTTTTCCATTCATCACTCAGTGGGATCCTTCCCACTGTTTCTTTTCTCTCTCAGTACTGGCTTAATCTACCAGCAGCCCCACATCTCATTTGGAAAGACAAATCCACTATTCCTGTCACTGGGAAAAAGGGAGGAAAAAAATCACATCATCCCCCATCAAATGAGGAAAACCCATCAGAAAGTGCAAAACCCTTTGGAAATGGGCTCTGCCTGTGCTCCAGGTTTGTTGTCAGTGGCAATGTCTGGAGGTGAAAGGAATGAGGGATTTCTCTTCACCAACTAACTGGTGGATAAAACTACCACTGAAAAGAAACAAAGGGAAGGATCCCGCTGACTGATGAATGGAAAGAGAGGGATTTGTCTTTCCAAACAAACTGTGGGTCTGCTGATAAATAAAACTGGATACTGAGAGATGAGAGAAACAATGGGAAGAACCAGGAATTCCAAGGAATTCCACTGATTGACACAAGGAAAAGAAAGAAATAAAGGGGGGGGGGGGGGGGGACTGTGCTCCAGGTTTGTTGTCAGTGGCAATGTCTGGAGGTGAAAGGAATGAGGGATTTCTCTTCACCAACTAACTGGTGGATAAAACTACCACTGAAAAGAAACAAAGGGAAGGATCCCGCTGACTGATGAATGGAAAGAGAGGGATTTGTCTTTCCAAACAAACTGTGGGTCTGCTGATAAATAAAAGTGGATACTGAGAGATGAGAGAAACAATGGGAAGAACCAGGAATTCCAAGGAATTCCACTGATTGACACAAGGAAAAGAAAGAAATAAAGGGGGGGGGGGCGAATGACACATTAGAAGGGGGTTTGTAGAAGGGAAGTCTGAACCTCTCAAGTACCTCAGCCAGAAGGGAAGAGAGGGGGAAATGTGGCTGGGAAATTGGGATAAAAAGGAGGCTGCATCCCCTAAAAATGTGAGAGACCCCATGAGAAATACCCCATGGCCTCTCCTTTGATTGGAATAAAGTTCCAGGACTTTTTTGGCCATCAAGCCCTGGTGTCAGTGGATGAATTTAAGAATGAAAACCTGGCTGGGTATGCGCTGCCCTCCTCCCCAGAGCCCCCTGGGGCTGCCCTTACCCACGATGAGGCGCTCGGTGTCCGGGAGCTGCTTGAAGAGTTTCCTGAAATCCTCATTGCGCTGCTTGTACGTGGGGCTCAACACCTGCAGAGAAAAAGGGGCTGCTGAGGAGAGGGACGGCCAGGACACGGAGTGGGGACAACAGGGACACCTCGGGGACAGGAGGAGAGGGGAGGCAGAGGCACTGAGGAGCTCCCATCGCAGCCATGGGAGGGTTTGGGCTTTATGCAGGGAGGGAGAGGAAGAGGAGAGCCTGGCTTGGGAGAGCAATCCAGGCTGGGAAGGCTGCAGAGAGGAATTCTCTGTGCCTGCACGCTGTCCAAGGTGGGAGCTGGGCTCTGCTTGCAGCAGTCACCTGCCAATGGCCAGCAGTGGGGCAGCTACCCCAGGAAATGGGGGAGTCACACCAGAAAATGGGGATTCAGTACAGAAAATGGGGATTCAGCACAGAAAATGGGGATCCAGCACATAAAAGGGGTGATTTACCAATAAAAATGGGGGATTCAGCACAGAAAATGGGGATCCAGCACATAAAAGGGGTGATTTACCAATAAAAATGGGGGATTTAGCACAGAAAATGGGGATCCAGCATATAAAAGGGGTGATTTACCAATAAAAATGGGGGATTCAGCACAGAAAATGGGGATCCAGCATATAAAAGGGGTGATTTACTAATAAAAATGGGGGATTCAGCACAGAAAATGGGGATCTAGCACATAAAAGGGGTGATTTACCAATAAAAATGGGGGATTTAGCACAGAAAATGGGGATCCAGCATATAAAAGGGGGGATTTACCAATAAAAATGGGGGATTTAGCACAGAAAATGGGGATCCAGCATAGAAAATTGGGATCCAGCACATAAAAGGGGTAATTTACCACCAGAGACGGGGGATTCAGCACAAAAATATTTACCCCAGAAAACAAGTGATTCACCCCAGAAAATGGGGGATCCAGCACAGAAAATAAGGAACTGAGCCTAGAAAATGGGGGATTTACCCAAGAAAACAGGTGATTCAGCACAGAAAATGGGGGATTTGGCACAGAAAATAGGTGATTTACCCCCAAAAAATGGGGGATTCAGCACAAAAAATGGAGGATTCAGCACAGAGAAGAGGTGATTTACCACCAAAAATGGGTGATTCAGTGTAAGAATCCATGTCTTAGTGCAATACAACAATTCAGCAAAGAAAATAGGTGATTTACCCAGAAAACAGGTGACACACCCCAGAAAACAGAGGATTCACCCCAGAAAAGCGGTGATTTACCATCCAAAAAGGGGTCATTCAGCACAGAAAATAGGGAATTCAGCACAGAAAACAGGTGATTCAGCCCAGAAAATGGGAGATTCACTCTAGAAAATGGAGGGTTTGCCCCAGAAAATGGGGGATTCACCCTAGAAAATGGGGGGTTTGCCCCAGAAAATGGGTTACTCAGCCCTGCCAGAGGATCTTGAGCAACCACTGTCACTGAGAGCCCAGGATCCCCCATGGCCACCCCTGTCCCCAGTGGGAACATTCCAGTGGGGCTCCAGAAGGGCTTTCCCAGTGTCCTGCCCTAGTTTTGTGTACTGGCCTCAGGGAAGGGCTCAGGGAACGCGGGGCTGGAGGGACACCAGGCTCCTCTTGGGGTTTAGGTGTGACAGCCCACACCTCCTGCACCCTGCTCCCGACACCTGCAGAACCAGGCAGGGCACACCACACCTCCCAGAGACTCTGCAGGGCTCTTTCTCCCACAAATGCAGAGAAGAAGCCACCTGGGGTACAACATTTTCCCTCTTTATCTCACAATCCAGAGGCACTGATCTCCCAGGGAAGAAATGTGGGCGTGTTCCAGCAAGGGCCCCAAAATTCTGAGATTAGAGAAGACAGTTTCTGCTTAAGAATGGGGTGGGAGGAATACAGAATTTATTTAGAATTAGCCTCACAGCATTGCCAAAAGCTGTCAGATCACAGCAGATTTGACGTTGGTTGTCAAATCACAGACAACCCCTCGCCCCCAAAACCATTCCCTGCTCCTTGCAGCAGCTCAGTGGAATAGAAACAGAACATGGCAACACTTGCTCCAGCCCTGTGGGCCCAGAGAAAGGGATCTCTCTCTGAGTAAAACCTGCCAACCAGCTGATGACAGAAATATGAATTGTACTCACCAAACTCCCAGCCTGAACATCTGGAAAAGATCTTGGTCTGAGATGGGCTCCAGCAAGAGCCCAAGCCCAAGATTTCCAGGAACAAGCAGACAGGAGAGGGACAGAGTGGGGAAAAGGGATTATAATCCCTGCAGGGCTGAGCTTTGGGCTCAGTGCAGCCCAAACTAAAACCTGTCCTACCAGAGGCTCTGCTCAGCCCCAGCAGCTCCGCCAGGGTGCAACCAGCTCAGTTTAGAGACACTCACAGCTGGGATTTCATCAGGTCCAGGGCTGGCATTTCCTCCAGAGAAGTCCACAAGTCCCTCTGGGTCCCACCACGGCAGCTCTTGGTCCAGGCAAAGATCCCAGAGGGAGCCACACTCCAGCAGGGAATCCATCTCCTTGCCCAGCCCTGCTCAGCTCCCCAGCTCCACTCCAACTCTGCTCTTCCTGCTCCCACTGCTCCTCGTTTGTGTCCAAAGCCGAGAGAGGCGCAGCCTGGCAGGAGTTCAGGGGGTTTAGGTGCCTTCCCCCGCTCTCCTGCCCACACCCAGCTCGTCCCAGGCGGCCCCTGAGGATCCCAGCGAGGATTTCCCCTCCAGAGGACTTTTGCCAAAGAGGCTCATCGGGGTGACTGTGCTGCTGGGCACCCTCTGTGCTCTCCTGCTGCAGCCTCAGCAGCTTCTGGCTGTGGGCATCCCCTGCAGGAGCCCTGGAGGTGTGAGCAGGGCAGCACAAGCCCCAGATATCCAGGAGTGCCGGCCCCGACCCCAGACAGCTCCGGCCGCCGGCCCCGCTGCGACTCACGCGGCTCCCGGGACCCGACGGGAGGCAAACAGCTCCAGCTCAGCTTTTCCCCTCTCTGCAAGCAGAAAAGCAGCGATTCTGCCTCCTCAGTGCCTCAGGCTCTGCCCTGCAGTCCCTCTCTGCTCTCAAAGGCAGCCTCAGTGTCTGTGTTTCTCATGGAAGGGGCGGGCGGGGAAGATCCCAAAATGACTCCACATGCCTGGAGTTACTGGAGCTGGGGAACTCTGGCGGCCAATGCCCTGCAGTAACCCAGCCCTGCCTCCCAGCAGATGTTTCCTGTCATGGAAAGTTGCTGGACAGAGTGTGCTGGGGAGGCTGAGGGGAGGCTGGGACGCGGGCTCCTGTCCCACTGCCTGCACAGGGGCCCTGTCCCACTGCCGGCAGTGCTCAGGCCGGCTGTGCTCTCCCAAATGCAGGTGGGCTCCTGTTGATCTGCACACACTGACTAGGACAGCAAATATTCCTGATGGTCTAATATTTAAGAATACCTGAAAGATACAATTGGTGGGTGAGGGGTTTGGAACACAAACCCTGAGAGGAACCCCTGAGGGAGCTGGGGGTGCTCACCTGGAGAAAAGGAGACTCAGGGGTGTCCTCCTCACTCTGCACAGCTCCTGAAAGGTGCCTGTGCTCAGCTGGGGCTGGGCTCTGTCTGCAGGCAGCACACAGCCCCAAGCTGCACCAAGGGAAATACAGGCTGGATAGCAGGAAGAAGATTTTTACAAAAAGGTGATAAAGTTCTGGAATGTTCTGCCCGGGGAGGTGGTGCAGTCACCATCCCTGGGTGTGTTTAACAAAGCCTGGATGTGGCACTGGGGGCCAGGGTTGAGTTGAGCTGTTGGGGCTGGGCTGGACTTGGAGGTCTCTTCCAACTCAATGATTCTGTGATTTTCTAAATTCTGTGATTCTTTGTCTTTTCTCTGCTCAGGTCAGTTAAAGGAAGAAGAAAAATATTCAGGCATGTGACAGATAAAAACACAGGATGTGGCTGGGAGGAATCAGCCGTGGGAGGCCCACACAGGCAGAATCTGAGGGGCTGCACCACTCCTGGGTGCATCTCTGAGCCCACTCTTCTCTCCAAGAAATGGGACTTTCCAGGATTCATTCATTAGCCAGGTCACTTTGGAAATGAAGGGCAAAATGAAGTCCCTGCAGGTCCAGGAGGTTGCTTGGGCTGCTGGCACCCCCTGTGCCCCCTGCCCTGAGTGCCAGCCTCTCCAGCTCCCTGCTCAGGCACAGAAGTGCCCAGGTCCATGCCCACAGCAGGGCACCAGATCTGCTCAGCTGTGAGCAAACACTGAAATAAACCCCTCATTCTTCCAGAGCTGGGCACACAGATCTCAAAAAGCACCAGGAAGCCAACCCAGCCCCTGTAGAGCTCTGCTCCAGGCCAGGGGAGCAGCTTGCCCACTGACAAGCTCTGTCTGCTCAGCTGCACCCCAAAATCATTGGGGCACAGAGGAGTTTCCATTCAGCACTGTAGCAGTGCACCCATCTGCACCCCAAGATGAGGGAATGATTTAAAAAAAAAAAACATTCTGTAGCCTGTGAAGGACAAAGAATTGGCATTACAGCCACCTGCACTGCTTGACTGAATGGCCCCTTGGCTGGAAACTCCAAAAGGGACTGAACAAAAATGAAAACCACCCCCAGCCACCTGTGTTTGCAGAGATGGTGCCAGCAGGGATGGGAAGAGCTGACCTGGAGCTGGAGACATCAAACATTAACTGCACTGCAAACACAGAGATGGGACAGGATGGCACTGCCGAGGGGAGGGAGCTGCTCCCTGGGGAGATGGGGACACAAGGGTCACTCCCCGGGGTGGCATCTCCCTGGGGTGACATCTCCCTGAGGTGACATCTCCCTGGGGTGACATCTCCCTGTTCCACACAAACAAATCCTCCACGGGAAACTTCCAGCAAACACTGCTGGGGAAAGGGACAGCACAGAGAACACAAAACCTGAGGAATGATGAGTTTTGGACAGCACAGAAAACAGGGAGCAGAGATGGCACAGAGGAGAGGGGGAAGGAAAAGCTCATCCAGTTTTCATGACTGATGGACTTCTGTGACTTATTTTATTTATTTATTTATTCTGTGACTGTGTTTATTCCAGAAGCTGACTGCTTCTGGAATAAACAACACGTTTCTTACTTGTGTGGGAGGGTTTAGACCCCACTGACAGCAGGGCTGGTGTGAAAAACCAGCAAAGAAAGCGGTCACCTGTCCAACAGCATCTCCTCTAAACCCATTCTGGTTGCTCAGATTTTCCATCTTTTTCCTTTTTCTCCTTTTAAAATTGAATGGAAAGCAGAGGAAGATGCTTCAAATAATCACTGGGATCTGGGCTGGAAAATGGATCTGAGTTCATCACCACAGGAGCTTGCACCAAAAATTTATTGCTAATTTAGTGCCTCTACAACCCAGCAACTGGTAATTCATCCACACACTGAAAGTCATGTAAAATCTGACAGGATGAAAAGCACCTGAAAGGCAGGGAGTTAACATTGCTCCAGAAATAATTTGATGAAATGGTTACTGGGAGTTCAAAGATGATTGTGTTGATTTACAAAGAAAAGGGAGAAAATCTGACAGGATGAAAAGCACCTGAAAGGCAGGGAGTTAACATTGCTCCAGAAATAATCTGATTAAATAGTTACTGGTAGTTAACCATTATGAAATGGTTACTGGGAGTTAAAAGATGATTGTGCTGATTTACAGAGAAAAGGGCTCTTCAGCACCTTGCTCACTCATCAGGCCTCACTTTTTGCATTAAACTCCATTTCCATGATTGCTGCTGCTGAGGGAGGCTCACCTGCCACCCCTGGAAAAGTGTTCCTGATTTTCTCCCCAAAATGAGGCAAAATTTCCCTTTGCCTTTATAGGGAACATTTTACCCTTCCAGCAGCTGAGTTTCCCCTCCACTGCGGCATCCACGAGGTCTCCAAGAACAGACACAGCACTCTGAGCCAGCCAGGGCTGATTTCTTATCAGCCTTGTGATGTCTGGGTATTCTCCAGAAGCTCAAGAGCTGCTCAGAGTTCCTCACAAAAGCCCTTTGCATCCTCACAATCCACGACAGATCCTCAGCCAGCTCCCCTGCACAGGCTTTCCCTGCATTCCCCCAGAGGAAAACTCTGGCCTCTCTCCTTTACCTGCCTCCCCACTGGCATTTTGGGGTTATTTTAAGGACTCTGAACTCCTGCCAGGCTGAGGGCTGCCCTGTGTGCACAAATTTGCTGGCAGAGCTGCAGGAGCAGGGCTCCTGTCCCTCTCCCTGCAATCCTCAGTGCAGACTTTGCTCTCCCAAACACAGGAGGGAAGGGATGGGCTCCTATTGACCTGCCCACACTGACTGGGACAGCAAACATTTCTGATATTCTAATATTTAGGAACAGCTGAAAGAGATAACTGGTGTCAGTTGAAGAAGAAAAATATTCAGATATTTTTATCAATAGATAAAAGTAAAGGAATTCAGAGCAAGGCAGACCTTGGGATGTAAATGCCAAAGTGAAAACCTCATGGATTTAAATCTCACCTCTTCCCTGGTGTCAAGTGAGTTTTCTCTAGCTTTTCAAGATCATCTTATTCATTCTGTATTCCAGAGCATCCCCTGGACTCTCCTGGTGCTGAATTTAAGAAGGAAGCCTTGCTGCAGAGCAGCAGAAATGCTGCAGGATGTTGAGACACACAGCCTCATTTGGGAACAGGGAAGCAGAAGGGCTCACAGCCCAAGTGAGGCAGAATGAGGCAGGAAAACCACGGCAGATTTGCCAGGCTCAGAATGTCAGGCTCAGTGACACAGAAATGGGGCCCTTTGCCCAAACCCCAGAGAAAATAAGGAGAGAAGGACAGAGATTTTATCCCTGGCAGCAGAATATCTCCAGTTTGTCTCTCATTTGAATGGCATCTGCTGGGTGACAAGTGTGGAGCTACTGACACCCCCACAGACAGAGCAGCTCCTCCTTGGAGTCCTCAGGGAAGAAAACCCAAATTTCCACCTCTCAGAGCACCTCAGGGGTACAGGGTAAGGCACATCTCTGTTTCAGCAAAACTACAAAGGAAGTTTAGTTTTAAGGCCTGCATCTGTTTCTATGAATTCTTTTTAAAATAATAAATGAATTAACAATAATTCACCGTGCAGACACACAACCCAAAGCAGACACTACTGATGGTTAAACCACAAGTGACCAACAGATTTTTGCCCCCCTAAAAACCACAATATTTCCAAACCAAAGTCTCCATGTACACAATTCCTCACTAAAGGCACGAGAAGCACCTCAGGGACTTTTCCTCTTTTCCTTTCCACTGACCTCCTGCTCTTCCACCACGAGGCCAAGAACACAAAGCAAACCCCAAAAATCTGAGTGCATTTATCCCTGAACTGGGGTTCTCTTCTCAATCTCACAGAGCACCTGCACCAGTTTGCATTTGTCCTCTGCAAAGCCAAGAAGAGAAAGCACAACCAGAGAGAGGGGCAGCTCTGCCAAACCAACCATGAGCTCACTTCACCCCTTTCCTCCCACTCCTCCACGGGGCAGGGATGGAAATCCCAAAAAAGCACAGGAGAACACACAAGGCAGGAGAAGTTGGTGGCATCTTAAGGAAAAATAAATAATAGAGAAAAAGGAATCCAGGAGAGGGGAAAGGGAAGGTTCCAACTGGCAAAGAGGAATGCAGTGTTCCAGAGACAAAAGAACCAGTTAAAAGCAGCAAAAAAAATGAAGCAAACTGGTGATGCCCTGCAGATCTTTGAGGCCCATGTGCTCTTTTAGGGATTATTTTTTGGGTCGGGTTTGCAAAGTGCCTGGCACACAGAACAGTGTGGAGTTTGCTCTGGGCACAGTGGGGTTTGTGTAAAATCAGAGTGGGGGAAAGTGGGCAAAGAACTGGTGAGGTTTCATGATTCATTTCTAGAGCTGCCCTCAGAGAGGAGAGGAATGGAGGAACCAGAATGATCCAAATGGCAGAAAAATCCTGCCTGGAAGGAGCTGGCAAAGAAGGGAAACTCTATCAAGGAGATGCATTAGCAAATTTTTAATGGAAATAACACTGCCAAGTAGGACTGATTGACTTCCTGGAGTCTGTGCCTCATCCATATTTTCACACTGCTGCTTTTATCTGGCCAGAATGTCTCTGCTAACTAGAAAATGAGCTTGTTTTGTTTTGTTTACAAAGGAAAATAATGGGGTGGGGTGGGGAAAACCACAAAAAAACGCAGCCAGTGCTTACTCTCCGGATGTACTGTCTCTCATGCTGAAAATATATGGAGGAAAAACAAGAGAACAGAAAGATAAGATAGAGAGGACATGAAAACACAAGAGACCCACAGAAGCAGAGCACAGCAAAGCATCATGCAGCAGGGAATGGAGCTCAGCAGCTACAGGCAGAAGCAGTAAGAGCCAAAGTCACCTCTAGGCTGGTGACAGAGTCAGGGCTTGACAGCAGCCAGGTCAGACTGAGGCATCTGCTCACAGTCCATATCTGCCACTTCTCCACCAGTCTGGCCCACCTTGGTTTGTATTTTGTTCTTAAAATAAATATTCTTTTTCTTTTATTCACTGCCTCTGTCCCTCTGTGCCTCTGGGGTCTCCTCCTGCGATGCTGTTCACACCCAGCAGGTTCCTAACTCTGCCTCTCCCCTCTGCAAACCCCACCTCATTGTTTCAGCCAAAATCCCACATTCTGCTGGCCCCCATCCTGCTGTGGATGGCTGCAGGAGGGCAGGAACTGTGGCTGGCCATGGATGGCTGCTGCATTTGCCTATGGCTACTTCAGAGCCTCCAGGGTGGGGGCCCGACCGTGCAAAGGTGACACCAACTTTGTGCCCACAGCAGGGCAGAACAAAGGAAAAACACCCAGGCAGAAGCAAAGGGTGGTTGGTGTTTCTCTGGGGTTGGTAGAAAATAATTCCTCTATGGCCCCCAGACCTCCCTGAGAGATGCAAAGGGTTTGCAGGGTGGCAGCTCTGTCTGTCACCGCGTGTCACCGCGTGCCACCACACCAGAGGTGCAGGATGTGGGGAGCATCACCAGAGTGACCAAAAGGACAAAGCTTCTGCTCTCTGTCTCTGGCATCCCTTTGCTCAGGATGCCAGCCCTCCTTTGCCAGTGCTGAGCCATTTCCAGCTCCTCCTCCTGGAAATGGTCAGAGTGCCCCAGTGCCACTGCAAAGCCCCTTGGCACCTTCCCCCCGCCCAGCCCAGAGCACCCAGGGACAAGAGAAACGGCAGTACTTACATTATACCAACTCTGGCTTTTCTGTAAGGACAAAATAAAAGAGAAGCATTAGTCAGCACAGAGATCTTAGGATCAAAAAGAAAGAGGGACAGAGAAAGCAGGTCCAGTCTGGTTTGGATCATTAGTGAAGTGAAAGTGGGATTAAAGAGAAGATTTCAATGGGTTTCACAGCGTGGTCTGACACAGTTATCCCCAGTTACAGGAGCAAGGGACAAATCCAGCAGCAGGAGTCTGGAACAGGAAACAGTTCAGGCCAAGGTGTGCATGTCCACATGCACACACACACAGACATGCTGTCACCTTGTCTGCAGACCAGCAGTGCCAGCCAGCAACAGAGGAGCTCACCATCACCATCATCACCATCACTGCCAGCCACCTCTTTAGGGCCTTCATTCTTCCACTGGCCCAGTGGTAAAACTCACATTGCCCTGAACAGCCCTCGAAGCACTGCTAAGGGCAGGGACAGAGCTTTGCCCACAAAAGACAAATGTTCCAAGGGTATTTTGAATTTTAAAAGGGAGACACACACACACAGAGCCAGGAAAAGTGCTGTAGAAAATTGCTAGAGAAGCTAGGCAAGGGAAAAAAAAAAGCTGGGATTTTTTTTTTTCAGCATTTCAGCGCACAGTGTTTTGCATCATCTGCACATGTGATTTTTTTTTTTCCCCCCATCCTTATCATGGCATTTCAGATGGTTGGACAGGACAGGCCACACGTCACATCGGAGCACACAAAAGAGCTGGCTCAGCTTGGAAAGTCACGCTTGGCAATTTTCAGCTGGAGGTGAGATTTATCTGCACAGGGAGAGGAGGAAATGAGCTTCCCACTGCAGCCAGGCTGGCTTTCCAACAGCAGGACTCTGAGCTCCTTCAGGACACAGGAATCCCCCTTTTTTGGGGGGATTTCCCTCATGGCAGTGAAGCCTGGGGGCACCAGAGCCTTTCCCAGGAGGGTGGGCAGCTCCAGCTGTGCCGTCCCCTCTCCCAAACACTGCAGTGGGAGCTGAGGATAACACACAAGGACAGAAGCAGTATCTCACTGCCTTTCCTCCTCTGAAGCCATCTTGATTCTGACCTTGGAGAATTTTCCAGGCTTTGCAGGCAGTTTGGAACAGGAAGGGAATCGTTCTGTGCTGTGCCTCGCCACAGAGGCTGCAGGAATTTCACTGGGAATTCCCTGGAATATTCACAGGGACACAGCCACTGCCTGCCCACCAAGGACACACAGGCTGTTCTGCCACAGGGAAGGAGGGGGAGTGTTAATGAGGTCAGATTGGAACAGATTTTGGAGAAGAGGCAGGGGCTGCTCTGTTCCCACCCCTGGATCTCCCTGCTCCACGTTCCCTGCGTCCACTCCAGCCACAAACCCTCACTGGATCCATTTCTGAAGGATCCATTGCAGAGCTCCCAGTCTCTCGTGAAAGGCCCCACAGTAATACAGTACACAGGCTAAAATACAAAAATGTGACATTAAAAAGAGGAACGCCCCCTTTTTTCCCCAGATCCTGGGGAAAGGAGATGAGCTGAGGGACTGAACACAGAGCATGGCTCATATCCCACACTCATTCCTCCAGGCAGAGGAATTTCCTCCTACTTCCCACTCTTTTCCATACTTGGCCATACCTGATCCATTCATAAAGGATGGGGTTGAAGTCATCCCTCTCTGCAAGTAGGACGTGAAAAAAAAGCCTTATGCAACCCAGTCCAGACTAAAAAAAGAACCAGGGTAATTAATCTGAGCCATGCACACAGCACCTTGTCCTCAGGAGCACAGGCCCTGAGATGGAGTGATTTTCCTGCAGATTTGTTTTGCCATCTGTCTGCCTTAATGAGCAAAAGGCGGAACTCAGAAATTCCTGGGGAAAACAAAAAAAAACCTTCATAATCAAACTATAATTGGCACACACACACCAGAGGCACTGCTGTCACTGTGCCTTGTAAATCAGGGTGCCCATGCTGAGGTGTCAGCACAGCCCAACAGGATTTCAGTCCACTCTGCTGCATTCATTGCAGGAACTATTTTTTTTTTCCCTCCTAACATTTGAATTTCCCTGAATCAAAGGTACTCTATAAAGGAGCTCTGCAGGTTCTTCTTTAAGCTCTTCCACACAAATAATTATACTGAGATCCATAATTATATTGATGTCCACAATTTTACCAACATCCTTAATTATACCAACACTCTAACCTCAGCTTTTGCCTCCATCAAGTTCAACAGACTTGTCCAAAATCCAAACAACCTCAGCCCTTAAATCTCTCTTCTAATTTATCTTTTTTTTTTTAAAACTCATGGAGAGGGAGATGCAAACTGTGAAAATCAAGAGACAGTAAAATGGAGAGGGGGAGGAAAAAAGAAAGAAAAAGGAAAAACATATTCTTACTTTGAGCAGGTTAAGTCTGTCATACTGGAAAAAGAAACCATAAGCATTAGAACTGAAAAGAGAAAATAAATAAGTAACAGAAGGAGGGGGGTGCACACAGACAGGGAGAAGATGGGACAGGTTTGCAGAGATGATGCTACAGGAGCACAGAGCAGAGCTCGTGGTTACAAGGGGGCTGTAACCAGGAAGAGCTCTGGAGGAATGTGAAAAATGGAATATTTTCTCTAAGCCTTTAATTGCTGCCTCTAAATAGTCACGATTTAGTGACCTGACATCTGCATGCACTGCAAGGGAAGGTGACAGCTCTGCAGGGCACACAGGTCACACACCAACCTTGGACTGAAACTCCAAACAGAGCCTCGCTGAGTCAGCATCGCTGGCAGCAGCACCACAGCTCACTCCTTGCTGCTCCCAGGGAACTGAAACCCTTTGCCAGGTGAATGGCATGCCACAGAGCTCCAGGAGCATCCCTAAATCCCTGAAGTCACACCTGGGGAAGCAGAGGCACAGAACCAGAGCTCAGAATTCCAGAGCTCTTTCTCCTGATCTGTGCAACGCTGCCCAACCAGCTTCTAAACTTTCTTGGCCATAACTCCAAACTTCTAAATTTCTTGGCCATAACTCCAAGAAATTGATGGAATTTGTTCCCCAAACCCTCTCACCCCAGCCCCAAATAAACAGAATTTCACTGCCTACTACCTAAAGGGGCTCTGTCCCACCCAGTGGGAGGGTGGATGAGAAGACACAGCCAAACTCTTCTCATCGTGGCACCCTGGAGGGACAAGGTGTAGGAGGAGGAATTCTAGAAGACACAGCCAAACTCTTCTCATCGTGGCACCCTGGAGGGACAAGGTGCAACAGCCATTGGCTGCAGGAGGGGGAATTCTGTCTGGAGAGGAGGAAAAAGCTGCTCACCAGAGTGGTTAAGCACTGGAGCAGGGGCCTGGCCAGGATGGGGCATCTCCAGCCTTGGAAGGCTGAAAAACGTGGCTGGACAAGGGTTTGGACCAAGCTGATTTAACCCTGCCTTGAGCAGGGCTTGGGTGAGAGACCTCCTGAGATCCCTCCTGACCTGAACTGTTCTACAGCCCCCAGGACTGCACCAAAACTCGTATTTCCCCCAACTTAATATTAATCCTCAGTATTCACCATTAGCTACAGGCATTGGGAAGAATCTGAAGGAAACCACTTTTATCCTCAGGCAAGAGCAAAATAGTTAAAAAATACATATTTTATCCTTGGCTACTGGCAAAAAGATGGGGTTTTTCTCAGTTTGGAAAGCTGTCCCAGAAAAGCCTGAGGCTGAGTCAGACCATGGCACAGTGTGGAGTCGGGGTGGCAAAGAGAGCTCTGGGAAGGATTCCCTCAGGATGCAATTCCAGGGCTTAAAGACCCCTGGCTGAGCACTCCACTGCTTAAAACTCCTGCTGGAGCACTCCAGTGTTTAAAACTCTTGGTGGCACACTCCCTGGGACAGTTCCAGTGTTTAAAACTCCTCCTGGAGCACTCCCTGGGACAATTCCAGTGTTTTAAACTCCTGCTGGAGCATCCCTGTGACAATTCCAGTGTTTAAGACTCCTGCTGGAGCACTCCAGTGTTTAAAACTCTTGGTGGCACACTCCCTGGGACAGTTCCAGTGTTTAAAACTCCTGCTGCAGCACCCCCCTGACAATTCCAGTGTGTTTAAACTCCTGGTGGAGCACTCCCTGTGACAATTCCAATGTTTTTAACTCCTGGTGGAGCATCCCTGTGACAATTCCAGTGTTTAAAACTCCTGCTGGAGCACTCCCTGTGACAACTCCAGTGTTTTTAACTCCTGCTGGAGCACTCCCTGTGACAATTCCAGTGTTTTTAACTCCTGCTGGAGCACTCCCTGTGACAATTCCAGTGTTTTTAACTCCTGGTGGAGCACTCCCTGTGACAATTCCAGTGTTTTTAACTCCTGCTGGAGCACTCCCTGTGACAATTCCAGTGTTTTTAACTCCTGCTGGAGCACTCCCTGTGACAATTCCAGTGTTTTTAACTCCTGGTGGAGCACTCCCTCTGACGGCAGCGCTGCAGCACAACAGAACAGCACAGACAAAAGAGGGCAGGGAGCTCAAGCAGATCTGGCAGCAATTGCACCAACACAGCAGCAAACTCATGGGCTCAAGCTGTTCCACCTCATTAGCCAGACAGGTTGGGAAAGCAAACCATTCTTCCTGCAGGAGATGGGTGGGGAGAGGAGAAGAGGCTGGGAGAGTTGGGAATCTCTGCCCTCCAGTTTTTTTGTTGCTGACCTCTCCCTGTGTGAGCAGACAACAGAATCGTCGGCATGGGGGCAAGCAGGGCGGTTAATGCCTGGAAATTCTTCATTTGTGCCAGAGGAAGCACAGAACAGAGCTCCAGGCTGCACACTCGATGATCCTCGCGGATCCAGCTCAGAATATTCCGTGTGAGCAGGGCAGGAGGCTCTGACAGGCTGCTGGGGGTCCTGCCTGGGATCCCCTTCCCTCTGAACTCATCTGGGCTCTGCTTCCCTCAGTTCCTCCAGCTGCCCCACAGTGGTTGGGTTTTTCCCTCTCAGAGAAGCAGGGGCTGGCTGCAGGCACCTCCCAGCAGCACTGCACACACATTTTACAAACATCCCTCTGTTCCAGGCTTCTTCCCACCAACCCCTGTCCTCAAACCCTCTGCACCTCCAGCTCAGCACAGCCTGTCCTGGCCCACACACCTCGGCTCGCCAGCAATCCTGTCAGGACTCTGCTACTGCACACCTTGCACAGCACTTCTTCCACTCCTCACCTTGAGACTTTAGCCCACGGTGCCCCTCTGCAGTTATCCCAGCTACACATACCAAGCACAAGACGATCTGTCTAAAAAAAACACGTCAGGAAGCTCCCAGCAGACACCAGCTGATCATGCAAGGTCAGGCTGGTCACAAGGACCACGACCAAGGGAGGACAGTGAGCCAGCACTGCTCTCTGAGAACTTGCCTAGAAGGAAACCTGAGGCATCCACTGGGATAAGGATTCTGTGGATTTTTGTGAAGCCATCCAAGCCATTCTGCTGTCATAAAGGGGAAATGCCAACAGCCTGGCACTTTCTCCAACAACATCCCACCTGTGTTTCTCATTTTTCCACTCTTCTGAGGGCAGCACAGAGCTGTGAGATCAAATCCCAAATGATCTTATCTCCAATTCAAGCACCCACAGAGGGATCTTCCACTTATCACCTCTCAGAGCGAGCCCATGAATTCTCACAATTCATTTGGGACAGGTCTGTTCTACCAGGTTCAAGCTGGGTTCACCTGAAATCACTGATCTTTAATATTTACATCACACAGCAGAGCGTGCAATGGCAGTAAGCTGAGATCACTGGCCACAAAAATGCTATTTATCATGAAAAGCAGGGAAGAAGTCATGGAGAACAACTCTCGTTTCTGAAATCATGGGGGAAGAAGGAAAGAGAAGCGATCATGGTTCTGTTCAACTCCAGAGGATTTCTCCCTGGCAAAGACAGCAGCTCACTCTAAGGGACAGGGGAAAGCAGAACTTAAAGGCTGAAATGATTTGGCACAGCTGCAGGGTGTGATGAACAGGCCAGTTCTCAGTCTGTGTGAGCAAATACCAGCGAGATGCCAGTGATGTAAGTGAACCCAGCTTCCAGCTACAGGCACGGGGCTGAGCTCTTGCTGACATTCTCACAGCCACAGCAGGAGAATGCCTGACTGGGGTCAGCACTCAGCACCACACGGAGGGTTCCTGAGTGATGAGGCAGCTCTACAGTGGGGGACAGGAGAGAAAAAAGAAGGCTTACTTTGGAGAGGCGCTTGTGTGACTTAATCGGAGAGAAAGCATGCAGGAATGAAAAGAGAGAAATTAGGGAAAGAAGAAAAATTACCTCGCAGATCAAGAGAAGGAAAACCCACACACCCAACAGAGAGCACTGTACCCCCTCTTCCTTGTGGAAAGCACCAGGAATTAAAGTTCAGCTTCAGCAGTCACCGTGTTGGTAAAAATCTCACTCCCATGACCTTTTGAGGGCCAGGGTGATGCAAATCCTCTCCGTGGTTCCCCTTCCCAAGGAGCCCATTTCCCTGCGAGCACCCCCAGCGTGGCTCCCAGCACAGCGTGCCCTGCATCCTCCTGCCTCCCATCCCATCCCATGGCTTCCTTTTGGGAACACAGTGCTGGCAAGGCCGCACTGGGGGTGTCACCCAGCGCTGGGACGGGGTTTGTAGGTCACTGCGTGCACAGGAAGCCAGGCTGACCTCAAGGGCAACCTCAGAACGCCAATGATTCAGCTTGAAAAACCCTTTTCCCCCCTCTTTTGAACTCACAGACTCCCCCCCAGAGTGGTGAGAGATCAGAATGTGGGCCACTGAGTCCTGTTCCCTCTGCTGAGTGGCCACAAAGGGGAGGGGAAGATTTCTTGTCTGTGACACAATCCAGCAATAAATCAAACAATTCATTTTATACAAGCCATCAGAGTTCTGTCTGTGAAATTATTCAGGCTGAAACATCCCACTTCAAAAATCTGGGCAAACACAAGTGCTCCTGACAGCTGACACGTCACTGATCTCAGGGTTATAATTAAAGGTTTGTTTGGTACCCCAGGCTCTCGTGTGTGTTTTCCCAGGCCCCACTGCTCACACAAAAATCTAGAGCCAAACCTGAAACCCCTTTCCCTACACAGCAAAGACAAGGCTGTTTCTAACATGGTCCAAGACACAAAACCTTCCTGGGGTAAATATCAGCTGCCCTGGGCAAGCCAGCTGTAACACTGCAGCCATGGAAGGAATGGGCAGAGGGCTGGAGAAGTGATTCTGTGCAATCTGAACTGATCTCAGAGGGCTTGCACAGGACTGGGGAAATGCACAGGCCCATCACAGGGGAAACCTTATTCATCTCATGATCCAGGTGATAAAAAGCAATTGAAACAGCTGATTTTCAAGGCCTGTTGAAAACCCCTCGTGGAGGAGTGTAGTCATGATATTTTATGAAAAATCCTTTGCTAAGATTTTTCTCCTATTTTAGCTGAGAAGCCTCAGAAAAGAAATGCAAACAATTAACTATCTGATAGCTGTGGAACGTGGTCTGGACATTGTTTACCAACAGGTGCATCTTTGGTTGGTCCAGCTGAGTTGTTTCTACTTAATAACCAAACAAAGATGCAGCTGTGTGGACTCTGAGAGTCACAAGCTTTTGTTATTCATTCCATTCCTTGCTTTTCCTTTCCAGCTTTCTGATGGATCTTTTCTCTCTATTCTTTTTAGTATAGTTTTAGTATAGCATTTTTAATATAATATAATACCATCATATAATAAATCAGCCTTCTGAAACATGGAGTCAAGATTCTCATCTCTTCCCTCGTCCTGGCACCCTCAAACACAGAGTTTTCCCACAGAGCCTCCCAAAGAACGGGACCTCGAGAAAGAGACCTGGAGAAAGGTCCTAGAAAGGTCCTAGAGAAAGCTGTAACCTCAGAGCTGTGCTGACCTCTGACCCAGGCGAAGGACCCCAAGTTAGCAGAACCTTGGGGGAAGAGGGAGGGAGACCAGCCAGAGAAGAAGAAGAAGAAGAAGGCAGAGGAGGAAGCCGGAGCAGCGCGAGCCCAGCTCCGCGGACACGGCGCGCCGCTCGCCCCTCACCTTGGAGTTCTTGGCCCCGCTGCGGCCTGACTGGGAGGAGCAGCTCCGCTGGACACCCTGCTCCGGCGTGGACGGGGACTTGTCCGAGGAGTGGTCGGAGCCCTTCTCCACCATGGCGTCCCCCGGGGCGTCCTGCGGCGTGGGCGAGCGCGAGCGTTTGCGCAGGATCGGGGAGCAGGCGGGCGTGCTGCGGTTGGAGTTACTGGCGGTACTGCAGGGCAGAGCAAGGGCAGAGAGAGCAGGGTTAGAGCATCTCCACACTGAAAGGGCTGCGCCCCGAGCTGAGCAGCGCCCGCAGCACGGAGCTGCTTCCTGAACCATCGCCCCCCGTGGATTCAGGCAGTTCTCTTTTAGCAGAGGCAGAGGAACTGCTGGCAGAGCCTTTCTCCAACCACCCTCCGGGCCCTCAGACCACAGAGCAACGCCCACAAGAAGGAACTCGTCGGCTCCTTGGGGCTCCTGGAGTTTCAAATGATGATCTGAGCTCAGAAAAACCAAATGTGTGCTCAAGAACGAGAGAGGTGTCAGCGTGTTCTCAATACAGCCTCGCTCTGCCCCTCCTTTTTTAGTGCAGCTCTTCTCATCAGGATGCACAAAAATGGGGTCACACCTTTCAGAAAACACCCCATCAAAGAGCATCAGAAACCCCAGGGCTCTGGGAGGGGAGTCATGATGACATTCAATGCAGCATTTCCTGTACAGAACCATCCTTTCCCACACCAGTTAGAGCTGGGCATGAAAATGGTTTGCTGTGACCCAAAAGTCTTTGTGATTAAAAAAAAAATAAAAATTGAGTTACTTTTTCACAATGGGAAAAGCAAGGTCTTTCAGAGTTTTACAGAAATTATGAGGGGAATGGAACTTCTCATTCTCTTTCCTCAGCAAACACCCCAGCACCTAGATCAGCAAGCCAGTAATGTACAAACTAACACAGAACAGGAAAACTCAGATTTCCTCACTGCTCCTTCTCTTTTGATGCCTCTCCTTCCTGCCAGACTCTTCAAAACACCACACACTACACCCATTTTTCCCTCCGTCACTCATTTCCTTCAGGAGTCAGATCTATTTCTGACCAGCCCAGACATCCTCGAGGCTTTTCCAGCTGCGCTGCTCAAGTCAGCAGGTCACAGAGGAGCCTGTGCAAGGACTGATCTGTGCTAACTTCTCCAGGAGCCTGTTATGAGCAACACCAAACAGGCCACATCTGACAGCACAGGCAGCAGGGAAAGGATGGAGGAATTACAACTGCAAGGGACTGAGTTAAAGAAGTTGTTGCAATCAGACTCTTAAGATTTAAGCCAAATTGCACGCAGCAACCACAATGATGCACAGCACTGTACTCCAAATGGATCATTTCCTCCCTGAAAACCTAGAGGAGCTGAACACGTGCCTGAGGTTTCATTAATTCCCAGATAAAAACCACGTCCATCTCTCCTTACTTCTGAAGATGCCAGAACCATTTTACAAGACACGAGCAGCCAGTGTAACACATTCCCCCAGCAGTTCCCAGGTTTGGTTTGGTTCTGGATGAACTGGTCTCATAAATTCTCCTTTATTTGCTCACTGCTTGTGTCAACGCACGAGTGATGAAACTTTCCCTGAGCAGCCTGCAGGAAGCACACAGCCAAGCTGCTTATGCAAACAGGGCCAGAATCAGATTTCCTAGGAGCTGGCACGGGGCAGGAACAGCAGCGTGGAGCTTCCCAGGAGCCCCTGAGAAGATGTTTTCACCCCTAGAAAGCGTGGAATTTCATTTCAGGCTTGGGAAAATGGGCGTGCAAAATGTTCTGTAGGCAGGAAGGTGGATTAAGTTAAACTCTGCTCTGTTACCTGAGAAATACAGATATAGAGCAATAAAAATCTGTTCAAATACCACCCAAACCCCAAGGCAGCTCCAGTGCAGAGCAATTCCCCTTGGCTTGCGGCTCTTCACCAGAGCAATGGCACATCCCCAAGGGAAATATTGTCACATCATCTTGTCCTGTGCCCTCCCTTTCCCTGGACAAGGCACAGGAATATTGAATGCTAAGCCAGTGTAGCAATAACTGTAGCAATATTTAAGATTTAATCCTCCCAAATAATAACTGAAGCAAAAGACAAACAAAAACATGGTCTGGATCATTCTCCCAGCAGCTCTGGGAGTTTACCCACAGTTTAGGTATAACATGAAGTAAAATTATCAGGGATTTCTTAGTTTACTGAAGTATTAAAAAGCATCAGGTTCCTTCACAGATTTTCTGCTGACCCAGTCAAAATGGGTGTTTCACCTGGTCTGTGCTCCTGCTAAACTCAATTTTAGCAGCACAGCAGAGCTACATTGGTGATTCCAAATTCAGCAGCAGCAGTCCCAGAGACAGAAACAGTCCTGAATTACCATTTTTACAGACTGTAGAAAAGCCAGGCTTCTAGTTAAAACCTCCAAATTCTGAGGCTGCGCTGGCCCTGCTTGTTGTTGAGGCAACACAAGCTGGTTTGTGTGAGAGGTCCCCAAAAACACAAGGCAGGAATTTGAAGCCACTGTCCCTGCCTAGCACATCACTGGCTAAACCTGTCTGAACACATGTACTAATTTTTCCTCCACAGCTCTACAAAACCTGAGTTTACCACACACAACCTCGTCCCATTTTCAGTTTGTGTGAGCTCAGTTTCACTTTGAGCTTGAGTTTAGAGCAGCTCTGCAAAGACCAAGCCAAATTCAGTCCAGCCTCTGTTTGCTTTCAGTTTGCAGCTATGAGATTTTGCTGCTGCTCAGTTAAAGCTCAGAATGAGCAGCTCAAAACCAGGGTACAGCTCCCACAGCGTGCAGGTGAAACTCAAGATGAAAAATGCTGGAAAGCTTGGTGCTATTTCAGTCTTTTTATGGTCTTACAAAGCCCCTCAAGGTGGGTTTTTAGTCACAGCCCAGCATGCCCTAGCACTGCAGCTGCACAGGAGCACACCAGCTTAGATGTTTTAGATCATTTAGATGCATTCAGATCATTGCTTAGAGCTGGCAATTTTATTTTTGCCCAGCTCACACACTGCCACAGCCACAATTTTTGGTGCCAGCTCTGCCAAGCACAACCTTGGGCAGATTCTGTCTTTCAAGCTTGTTTTTTGGTTTGAAAAATTAAATCCATCCACAAATATCATATTAGGCGTGTGTGGATTCTCACCTTTGCAGAAATAAGGGGGAAAAATAACATCAAGGGCTCCTTCTTTGGCTCTCCCTGCAGTGAGTGGCACAAATATCAAACCCAGGAGGGCTGAATTCCCCTCCTACTCTCTGCTGACTGGGAAAAGCTGAATATTTCTGACACGAAGGACCCCACAGGCAGAGAAAATGAGAAGTGTGTTAGCTGATGACGGCGAGGATGGGCACGGAGAGCCCAGGGCTGCCCCTGCCCCGAGCCCCTCAGAGCTCTCCCTGCTCCTGCTCGTTCCCTGGAGTTTGAATCCAGCCCAAGGCACAGCCATGACGAACGCTTTCTGCAGTTGCCATGGCGACCAAGGCCCGCAATTGAACCAGGAATCAACGCCTGAAATGCCAAAACGGCTTGACCCACTTTGAAAATAAAATAATTGTAATAAATAACGCTTTAGAGACCTAATTGCCCCGAGTGCATTCAGGGCCTCACGTCCCCCTGCAGAGCAGCCTTCAGTAGATGAGACAGATTAAGTGAGGGACAGAACACAAACAAGCCCACCTAAGCAGCAGCCCCTTTGCTCAAGAGGTGAAAACCTCTGCACGGAGCATGTGAAAGCACAGAAGGCTGGGTTTGTCTCCTTGGTTTATGTCCTTGCTGTCCCTAAAGGAAAAACCTCATCAAAATACCATCAGCAAGCGTGGTGTGGGTGGGAAGGGGCCAAACTCTGCTCAGACGTGGAGGAAAAGCATCAGTATCTGCAGCAGTGCAGTAGAGAATCTGTAGCCTGCCAGTACCTTGGAGCTGGAGAGGGATTTTTTAGCAGAAATTGTAGGATAGGACAAGGAGTTATAGATTCAGACTGAAAGAGGGGAAATTTAGGTTGGATAAATGGAAGAAATTGTTCCCTGTGAGGGTGGGGAGGCCCTGGCAGAGGGTGCCCAGAGAAGCTGTGGCTGCCCCATCCCTGGAACTCCAAGGATAGGGCCTGGAACAACCTGGGATAGTGGAAGGTGTCCCTGCCCATGGGACAGATGACGTTTAAGGGCCTTTTCAACACAAACCATTCTGGGATTCTGGAAGCTTTCCTTCAGCTGATGAAAAAGAACATTTGGCAGTGCACGGACCAGCCCCTGAGAGAGCAGGCAAGAGACAGAAAGGCCAAATTTCTCCTGCAACAGAGTATTCCTGTAAGGGTCTGAAGCAGGTGATGAACAGAGGTTCACCAAGCAGTCACTTCTGGAAAGGTATTCCACAAGTTAAGCTTGGTGCTCTTAAAACCATAAAGGAACTCTTTACAAAGCTTTCATGGAGAACTCCACAAGAAACCTGCCTTTGCTGCAGTCTGGTAAATGAATTCTGCAAGAACAACACCCAAGCATCCTGAAGTGACACCAAAGTCTGTCCATCCCACCAGCTCTGAAATCACAGCCATCCCTGGGAGTGACACCAGCAGCTCTTTCCCAAATCACAGCGCCCCAAGGGCCAGCAGCCAGCTCCACAGGGCACTGTCACAGCACCTGTGACACAGCTCAACACAGCAAATCCCTTCGCCTCTGCCACTTGCAGGATGTGAATTAGAATTCAGACACAAGTAGGAAAAGGACCAAAGAATTTTGCAACTAGAGCAGCTCAGCTAAACAAGCAGCAGCCTCAGGTACTCAGCTGTGACCACCAGCAGCTCAGGGGGCAGAAAAACACCACCCACACCACTCCCTGCAGGGCATTTCTCAAGCCCTTGGATTTCCTCAAGCTAGTCCTGATCTGGAAAGCTTAAAGGCCTCCAAGTCTTCTCTCATTTCTCAACAGAATTTGCTTTCCAAGAGTCATCCTGCAATTACTCACTTCTCCCTGCAGCACCGACCTGGTAACGAGCTGTTCCAGTCAAGTCTTCTCTCATTTCTCAACAGAATTTGCTTTCCAAGAGTCATCCTGCAATTACTCACAGAATTCTCCCTGCAGCACCGACCCGCTAACGAGCTGTTCCCGGCCCAGAATTGGGGTTTGTGCTGCAATCTGAGCTGAGTTCTGGAAGTGCTGAGCAATATGTCCCCAGACCAGCAGAGATGCACACATTGAAGCACAT